GCATCTTCCAGGTTTTTTTTGCGTGTGACGTGGCTACAGTTAATTTTCTTCTCTCCAAAACCCACACAGTTCGGACGTCAGGAGGAGGGGATCGAATCCGCGCCCTGGGGATTCCAAGACCAATAAGTTGCCCCCTCCCCCTTTTACATCAAAGGTGCGCACTGGCTCTCTTACAGACTCTCAACACGTTGATGAGAATGTTGATGTGCTACACACAGACGTCGCACACTGTCTTCTATTGCGTCGAGTGTAGCGGCAGGTGCATATAACAATACATAAAATCACATTGGTCTGGGTGGTAAACTACGGTCCGAGATACAATAGACGACGCTTTTACTACTGACCGCAAATTTGTGACATGCAAAGTGTGCTTCAGTTTGTACTCTCCAAATTATTTTCAAAACGGTATTATTTTTATAATTTGTTTAGAATTGTTTTATAAATGTAAGATCGTATAATGTAAATTTGTGAAAATTAATATGTGAAATTTAAAATTACGTATTATATTCGATTTTACATGTATATTACTTATACTTTCTGTTGTCATTACATATTTATGAGCATATTTTGACCTTTCATACTATATATTTTTCCGCTCTCTAATGATTAACATTATGTATGTCAAAGGAACATTTATGGATTCAAGAAGAACAAAATGTTATTTTACAACAGAAAGGAGAACATGGCGTTTCCTCTCAAAGGAAATTGCACGTTGGTGGTGTCAGTACTCGCAGATTCATGACGCTTCGCTGCGTGTGTCCAAGTTGAGGACAAGGCTGGGAATATAACATTATTGAGTCTGTCCAACGCATTTTATGTGAATACTCATCTTAGCAATTATTTGGCGAGTTGATGAATGTCAAGGGACTCAATACCAAAAAAACCGTGACACCACCAACTTGACTGATCAACTCCTGTCAATGCTGCGGGTGTGTTTGGTAAATACCTCATGGCGTCTACAGGCGCTAATACACCCACAGAACAGAAAATCACATGCTCTTCGCTGAAGATGTGTAGATTCACTATTCCTGAACTCGTTTCCAGGTGATGTTTGCACTAACTATTGTATTTTTCAATATGCATTGTTACTGCACCATCCATTTATTAAATAAAAATTAATGTACATCAAAATGCAAAGAGACCTCTAGAACATTTTCAGAGAATATTTAAAAACTGGCAGTGAAATAATTTGATTTTTTTGTAAAGCAAAGTGCATTTATTAGAACACACTATTTCTTTACAATCTCCTTACAATTACAATTTATTACAATTTCTCAAACATTTAGAAAATTCCCACGGGTGAAAGTAATTTTAACCATTAACTAGATCATTACAGCACTTCTAGCCGAGAGGTCTTCGGGTTTGAGTCCAGACTGTGACAGCATTTCTGACAAAAGCTAGAGAGCTTGGTCGAAATCACTCGCGGTATGGAGAATAATTCTAGCAGCCGTTTATTGCTTTTATTGGTAGTTTTCCGCCCTTTCTCACCTTTTGTTATTCCTATCTTTCTTTCTATTCTTATCTTCCTTTTTTATTCCTTGTCCTATTATCACCACGTATGCTCACACTAAGATGCACTACACTACCACACAAGCCGGGAGAAACCTGGATGTGGAAAACACCGCTAGCCGACGGTAGATCGGAACCCGATCTCTCCATCCAGCGGTAGAAGACCACCTCCACCTCCAGAACAAAACATACACTACACTTACGGAAACAATTACCTTAGTAGTTGACGCGCCCGGAATCACTAACAATAAATCAATCATTGTCTGTCCGTCTGTCACCCCCTCCGTCCATTCCCTCTCCTCCGCTTCCCCATCTGCCCCCACGTCCGTTCCACCCCCATCTGAGTCCCTCATCCACTTCCCGTCCCTTGTGACCACTTTTCTGTCTGTCCCCCAACCCCTTTTGCTTGTCTGTTCATCTGCCCAACTGTCCATGTGCCCGCCTGTCCTCCTGCCTCTCTGTCCGTCTCCCACCTATTCGTGTGACTGTCCGTCCACCTGTCCTTCCGTCTATCAGTCGGTCCGACTGTCGCTTGGTCTGTCCTTCTCTCACTGCGTCTATATAGGCCTCTGTCTCCCCCGGGCGTTATTTCACAATCGCAGGGGCAGACCCTTAATACTTCAAGGTGCTGCGGGTTGCATAGAGAGCTTGAGCAGGGGCGCGTGGGTCAGCATAAAACCGCCATCTACGCGCGTCTACAGGACATGCGCAGGTATCCCATCGTACTATGCCTATATTCTTCTCACAAGTACAAGAAATAAGTTGACAAAGTTTTATCGCAATCGGATGATCGTTCGGCAGTGCAGTACGTACGAACCATCAAACAAACATTGTTTTTTATGTATAAGATAACACCTAAACCTAAAAATAACAGAAAACAAGTGGTCTGCGATAATCTCTTCAACTCTAAATCGGAGTCACCTCTGTTTTCGTGTGGTACGTTACGGACAGAGCTTTCGAATATTTTCTGAGTCGGATCACAGATAATCTATTAAGATACGGAGAAGATAGAGGTGACTAGAACGATATATTTCTACATTTCGTCGTATCCAAAAAACATGACTGAATTGTTTCACGATGGTGTTTCGCTTATTGATGTTTGTTTATGGTGCTTCAATTATGGAATGATTCATTAATAATTTGAAAGCTAAAGTCGAAGAAAAAATGCTTTAAAATGTTTCTTGCTCATTAGACTTTATTGAAATCTGAAATATTAAAATTATTTACTAACAAGAAAACAATTTCATTTTCAATTTTTATTCATCAACAATAGTGATTTCATGGTAAATAAGTTAATGCTGTCAGTCACGCATGTATTGCACAAACATGTTGAGGAGATTTAATATTTCAGAGTATAATTTGTTTTTCTATTTTTTATCTAATTGTTCTCCCTTTTTCCTTACTGCAGAGCGTATGGACTTTTATGAGAATGTACTGCCATTAGTCCTACAAAATCTGGTGTGTTTTACATATATGAAGAAAGGAAGTTCAAGTTAAGCAGAAAAGATATAGTTTAATTATTATGTGGTAATCTCGGTAACATCTGTAATAACATTTCTTTAGATTTTTGAAAATAACGACGTATTACGTCGAATAAAAGTCAAATAAGAGAAATTGTGGTACAACGTATATAAATCTCTACCTCAGTATATTTTCCTTTCTTATTCAAATCTAATTTCCAACGTATAATACATTTCTCCTGTTACCATTCCCCCCCCCCTACTTCATACTTCAGAAGATCGTCTCCCAACACATATAACTGATTCGTTTCATATTTCAAATCTGTGCTCATTATGGTCTTTGTCGCTAAAGAATGGAGTAAAGGCTTCCATAAACGATGCAGGAACTTTGTGTCTTACGAAGACTAACAAGTGTAATTGAAAAATAAAATAATTGATTTTGAGGTGAGTTCATTTGTACCTGGTATATGTTTTTAACAATACAAGTTTATTTTATGTAAATTTGACCAAACTCTTACAGTTATAAAATTTAACATAGACTTATTGCCTTAAAGTTGATTGATATATAATGATTTCTGTTTGTCTTCAATTTAGAGTAACAAACGAACAGGACCATAAGTTCTCGAAACGTTGAGATGAAGAATTTTAAAAGAATGTTCATTTTAATAAAATAGTTTAATCTAAATAATGGTTTATGATTAATAGATTGCTGTTTTCAATGTGTTTGGTAAAAATATAATATTTTTAGAGGATAATCGAAAATCATTTTAGACAAAAAATATAAAAATAGAATCTTAATTACGATCGGAAGTTAAGTGATTTTTTCTCAATTTCATGCCAAAACTCGAATCATTAAAATACTCTACAAATTAAAATTACAAAAATGTATATGTTTAAACAATGTCAGTAAAGAGAATTTTAAAAAAATGGAAAACAAAACAAAAAGAATTATTAACGGAGAAAATCGGCCGAACGGTTTAGCCGCTAGCGTTGTTCACAGACAGACGGGCAGACGACAAGACGTTTTTCCGTCAATCAACTTTTCGGTATCAAGAACTCAGAAAACAGATTCTGGCTACACCACGTGTTAGAGAATTTGTTTTCTTAATTTAGCAACTGGATCTATCCATATTGTCTTTACGAGGGAACTGTAATAAGAGTTTTTGTGCCGAAAATTCGCCGTTTCTTCGTGCAGCATTACATAACTTTCTCTCTACTCCATAGCGAGAAAGTAACTAGATTGTTCAATAAAAGAAACGAGACTCGCAAGTGATCTCATAGCCAACTCTTCAATTCATGGAGACCCGAGGCTTACGGCACAAAGACATTCGCAGTCATCAAGTGACCTGTTTCTAGTGTGAGGACGCATTGTCACCGGGTTCTATCACTTTCCTCACCGCACATTACTGGCAACGCAGCCACCCATGTACGTCATACGTGAAAAGTGATTTTAATTTTTCGTAGGATAGCGCCACTCGACCTATAGGCCTGATGACCCAAACATTCACTCTCGCAAAATAATATGCTAGGTGCTTTTACCAGTTGTAACGGAAACAACTATTTTATGTTCTGAATAGTTAATTCTTTTTAATTGTGTACTACATGTCAGTTAATGTTTTATTGTTATTTAGTTTCCTATGTAAATATCTTATATAACTTCTATTCCATTATGAATAATAATTCTTAATTTACCCATCTCCCTTCCTAAAATCCTAGCCATGTCCATGCTTCATATACCGCAACACAATGTCCCAACAACGTTGACACACGTAATTATTGACGTACTCCAATACTGTGTGACATGAGACACTGCTGCGATCCAACGGGCATCCCTCACACTACGTAGTGATGAGCGCCCTATCTAGTGGCAACGATACTAACCATGACAGCAGAGCCTGCGCGGTGTCTCGCTAGGGTCCGCCTACGTAGCGCGAGGCCGTGGCATGGCGCGTCTTCGGGAGCGGGGGCGGCAGATTCTGCGCACTAGGGCCCGCCCACGCCCACGCCTTCGCCCACGCCCAGCCGCCGCCCCCGCGGTCGACCATGGTCCTCGACGCGGCGACACAACAGGCGCTTTGCGAGCGCGTGCGAAAGGGTTGAACATTCCATTTCAAACAACACAGTAGCAAAGTCGGAATATTAAGCACTGCGCGAGTGTAGAGAATCGAAATGGCCAAGTGACGATCAAGATTTCACTTAATTTGCAATTTTTGTTGTACTCGTAATACCCATTATAATGATTAGGTGTACACAAACATTTTGAACGCGTTCGGAATTACTTCCTCTAATATACGACAGGGGTGCTGCAAGCGCAATAAATCGATAAGATGAACCGAAACAAAGTAAACTTTGTGCGTTGAAGGCCCTGAGTGAGAGGTTCTGCGATCGATGTAACCGACTGTTGCTTCTCAGCTGTCTCTCAAGGACACGAAGCCCTTTCCACCCCCCGCCCGCTGCACAACACGAGGTGAGTGCCTGGCGCCCAGCGACCCCCCTCCCCACTCCTAACCCCTTCCCTCACAATACTTCACCCTCCCCTACTCGCTCCTTCCCCCCACACACCCTCTCATACCAATTCATCCCACTTTTCACACCCACACCCTCCGTCCCTTCCGCCTTCGCTCTCACCTTCTCACTTTCCTCGTAAAAGACGGTAAACATGAATGGTTTTCTCGTTTCCGGCAAACACTCCTTCTTTTCGAAAATTGCAAAAAACTGATATTGCGAAAATACAATATTTATTCTAGAGATTTAACAAAATGAAAGTATATCTAAAATTTTCATCTTTAAATAAGGACATTAAATTATTTTTTTTAAAGATATTTTAACGTAATCATTACTTTAATGTAAAACAATTTTTGAAAAAAATTCTCAAATAAGGTTTCAATTTCTTTTTTGGAGAAACGCTTAAAAACTGGTACATGTCCCACTTTTGTTGAAGTTTCTGAATAACCGAAAACTGCAAAAGACTTAAATATTGAGGACAGTATCCGCTGTTGTAGCACCACTACTATATGAGGCAATTTATAACAAGAGAGTATTAAATTTGGGTAGTTACATCTTTGATTGTGGAAAAAAATTTGGGAGGGAAAACGTGGAAAAAATTAATAACTCTGTTCCAAAATTTGCAGCATATAATACACAAAAACCAGGAATAATTTCATTCAAGCTTACAATGAAGTGAAGTTTCAATTTTTTAATACCATAAACAGCGATAAAGATCTTAAAGTAAAAACAGTGTTTGTTACTTCTACGTTAAATTTATTACCTTCTTTCAATCTATTTCCTTTGACAAAAATATTATCTATATCATGAAAACATCGAGTGGTTTAAAAATTCTTCCCAATGTTCTCAGACGACAACATTGGGAAGAATTTTTAAACCACACTATTACCATTTTGCGAACTGCCAGCATGTCAAACAACGCCCGCGAAATTCGAATTTACATTTTTTGCAATTTATGAAAATACAGAAAGTGCGCCGAAAACAGGACTTCTCTTCACAGTTTTTTGCTACATACGAGTAAAATTTAAAGAAAAAAGTTGGAGTCGTTTTTGAGAAAATAATCATTTAAATTGTTTGAAAAAGGCCTATGTTTAAAGCCAAAATACACTATTATGCAAAATCCGTGCAAATTTTATAAAAAAAATGTGGAGCCGTTTTTGTACATTTTGAAAATGTTGTTAAGACTTCATGTAAAGTACCCAACCCCTCAAAATGGAATATCGGTTTCAAACTCAAGGGGATCGCGATATCAGCCAGAATGATTGAGGAATATCAATTTTGGTGAAAATACTGCACATAGTGACACGATTACACGACACCCACTACATGTAGAGACACGACTTATTCACAGTTTCGTTACCAAGGCCCGGCAACACGAGTTTTTAACTCGAGTTAATCTCGAGTGTAAATGCGAAGTTTGAGGTTCTTTGTCACACAAAAGGTTTCGCAATCGAGTTTTCGAAAAACTTCATTAGAAGTCATTTAAAACGCATTTGCAATAGAAATAGCGCATTTAAAGCGCATTTGCAATTAGAGATAGGTGGAAAAGTTAATATTAACATCGTGAGAGATATTTAAAAAATTACATATGTGTAAATTTTGAAAAATCAAAAGAATACCTCGAATAAACTGTGTATCATATTAACCAGAGGAATAAGCCATATCCGTTTTAAAACTTTGAAGAAAAACTATCGAGCCATTTTTGAGAAAATGGCGTTTGTGCGTTTCTCAAAATGCGGTATTTTGAGCTCATTTTTACAGACAACTGTTGTTTTCAAAAAACCTTTTATAACATTATTTAAAGCACATGTACTCATAAATACAGGAATAAAAACATTGCATTTTTGTAATTTAAAAAAAAAAAGAATAGCGCAAAATATTGTTTATGTCATCTCATAAAGTACATTTAGTACTATTCCTACCAAAGGTTTAAAGAAAACATTTGGAGCGGTTTTGGAGAAAATTTTGTTTTTGTTATTTTTTTAAATTGGATACATTGCACGCAATATTGCGCGAAAACTACTAAAATTTTCAAAACAATGCGCACGACCTTAATGAAAGAAATAATTATGGACAATACATTTTATTTGAAAGAAATATTTCCATCTTCAGTAGTGTAGTTGTAGGAAGACGCCGAACAAATCCATACTTTTGCAATTTTCTAAAATATAGAGTGAACAGAGAAAATTGCATCTGTTCCACTTTCATATGTTCTATTTTTACACAATATTTAAAGACAAAATTAGGAGATTTTCTTGCGAAAATTTTAAAAATGTCCCAAGGGCTCCATTTGTAGTACTCCCCACTGGCCTGCGATGGTTTCATTTCCGACATCTTGTATTGCTTTTTAGAATTCCTTTTAGAATGGCCACAGTATGACTTTTGCATCCTGAATCAGGATAATACGTTATTTTTCCCACATCACATCACGTTTTTTCAAATATCACATACTACGTTTTATCACAATATTACGATTTAACAACAGAAACAAAATTATTATTGTGCCCCCTAGCGATATTCTATCAGAAATTTTAGCCGTTTTTCGTGGTCCTGATGCCATAGTCCCATAGCGTCCGGAAATTGTAAAACACATTTGCTATTCTGGACTGAATGTGACTGATTTCTCGATTAAAGAATTTGGAAAGGAACCAAAGCTTTTCAGCAAAGTGTATTAATAGTAGTTTTTGCAATTGGTTTATAATGTTAAGATTTTTTGCATGAGTACATGCTTTGAAAACGAGCGACTTTAGGAGCGGGTCATCGTGCGAGTAAACGGTGATCGGCTGTTCCGTTTACCTCTACCTCCCCCGATTCTCTCGCTACGATTGGCTGAATGTGTGATGACGCAATCATTCGTGACATAAAATCTAATACGCCATCTTTTGTGGCGTAAAATGCCCGATTATGAACAATTTCGTACAACAGAAAAGGTTCTTTTATAATGCTGGAATACAAAAAAATATATATTGTTCGAGATCTTGGCCTTACAAAAGAACATGTCGCGAAACTCGGGTCGAAACATGTTGACATCATGGACGGCGAACTACTGGTATATATTTAAAGAACAAGAATTTACACCTTGATTTATAAAGAGGGAACTTTGGTTTTCTGAAACAACATTCTGGAGGTTATCTGAAATTAGGATTACCGCAATATGACGCTTCACAACGGATACTTTTTATAGATGTCTCCAAGCATAATTAGAAGTATGTTTTGCTTTAAAATGAAAACTAACTGTCATCCAGACCCATTCTCATGCTGTTATTACGCGAGAAACATATGGTTTTGATATTATGTTGTGTAAACTGAAGTATCAGGAACCCAAATGAAAAGCCAGAGGTAATTTTAGTAATAGCTATTCTGTTATGTGCGTGCCCGAGTGAGACAGTCGAGCAAGGTTACCAACAGAACCCGAAAAGAATGGCCACGTAGTCAATGGATTGTATACTCGAAAAATATAAACTACTGACAAGTCCGACGTACTGTTACCCCCGCTTTATATTAAAATTGGGATTTAAACAATGATTGTGAATGCTTTCAGAATCTGTGACATGAATTCCCTGATATCAGTAATGTCACAATCAAAGACTGTATCTTCACAGATCCAGGTACCAGAAAACTTCTATCTGATGCTAATTAATTTAATCTGATGAAGATGTGTGGGCTGCAGAACAATCAGCAAGAAAAAACATTCCGGAACGAGAAAAAAAGTTCCTGGCAGCAAAAATAATTCAGACTACAAACAAAAGGTGGACAATATGTTTATTTCAAATATTTAGACTGGAAAATAAGTTTCAAAGTGCGCATATTACATTCACATCTGGTTTATATGCATAGAATCTAGTAATGCTGTGCTAAGAACAAGGAGAAAGATTTCACCAGGATCTAAAGGAATTGGAACGCAGATATCAAGGGACATGGAGCAAGACATGCTTCCAGGTTACTGTCGGTTACTAAACGGAAAAGGAACAATTACATCATACACGTGAAAAGTGAGGCAAAGAAGTTCCTTAAACTAAGATAGGACCTTATGATATTGAAGCAGAGGTCTTCCCTTTTTCAATACATTATGAGGCATCTAGTCTGTTTTTCTTCAAGTCTGTATAAGAGATACACTAAATATTGCTATTTTATGTTCATAAGTGTGTAATATAGTAGTTTAAATGAGTAAAAGTAGTAAGAAAGAAGCATTCCTTACATATTATAATAAATTAATTGACAACTTGCCTGTCGGCGTGTCTTTGTCTTTGATTTTGAAAAAAAAGAAAGGGAAAAGAAAACAAAAAACAAACCTGATGTGATAGAAAAAAAACTAATTTCAGTTCCAGAATAAGCATGTCAGTAATATAAAAGATCACTACTTAAAGATTATGCAATGTCCAGAGAGTTTAAATTCGCATGTCAGTGAAATTAATGATGTTTTTCAAAATCGGAGAGCGTTGTCTCAGACAAAATCGACAGGGGTTTAGTCAGGTTGGAAAAATCGTACGAATAGTTTAGGTGTTAGTGTTATTCACATACACCAGACAGACGGACGTTTTGAAAAAAATCAACACTTTTTCGGTATCAGAGGACCCCAAAAGTGTATTTCCATCGAAATCTCGAAATCGATTTTCCGCAGAACAAAATAACTTTCTCTATACTACATATATTAGTCCGTATATACGTAAGTATACGAGAATGAAATAAACCATAATGTATTTATGTCTGTTGCAGATTTTGAAAATGAGTCCTGGATTGAGCATCCGATCCTGTACGTGTTGCATAGCCATCTGGTCTTTGGTGAGTTGCGATTAATTAACATCTGTAGCGTCAGTAACAATTTCATTTGCTCCAACACTGTTGGTGGTAGTTTTTTGTTCATCGGAGAGGCAGTATCATTTTGCTATCCTTTGATATTAATTTATTCGTTTCCTTTAGTTTTGCTGATGGGTGGTAGAGAAGGACCTAGAGCCTGAGCCACACAACAAATAAGGGTAATTTTATAGTTATCTTCTTTGTATTTAAAATAATAGGGATTTTCATTTAGACAGAAATGCAAGAAAACCATTCTAATTAACCAAATTATGCGATTGTTACATTTAATGAAAGGTAGGAACCCCAAATGTGTTATCACTGTCTACTTTTAACCGGTTTGGGAATAAAAACACTCAATTTTAACAATATCTAAAAGAAAAAACGCTTATATTCCAGCATTTGTCCATTACGTTCTTCGGTAGTGCGAGTTGCAAACGATCTATCAAAAGCAGTCGACTTTTCGTCGCGAGCGAGCGGTGAGATTATGAGGTTCTAAAGCGAAGTTCAAAAATTGAGCGTTTCTAAAAGTAGTAGTGGGGCTACAACTCGCATTATTTTTAAATTTGCAATTTTCGAAACTTCAGAGAGATCAAAGAAAATAAGTTACTTGTCAATCTTTTAAGCATCCCTTCTTCTATTTGTGGGTGGAAAATTAAAGAAGAAAGTGTAGTGGTTTTTGAGAAAAAAATGTTTACATTTTTTAATTGCCTGAATTTCGTTCCAATTTTTTTCATCAAACTTTTTAACGGGTAGAGATAATTGCACTGTTTAATACGACATAAAATTCATTTTTATGTATTCTTTGGTTTTTTCAAAACTTACCCAAGTGTAAGCCTCTCTTTATTAAACTAGGAATTCTTCCCTTATCTTACCTTTTTATTTACGAATCAGTGTTTTTTGTCGAAAATGACTAAGTACTGAAGGGTGGCAAACTATTTTCAGCAAATGCTGATGTCTACAACTATAACACTCGACGTAGTTATCATATCTATCAGGTGTTATATCAGCAGTAATTAAGAAACTACAAAATAAACACATACAATACGATCTTACAATGTATTATTATAACCTTGCCAGATGACATTAAACGATTAAATTCAATAATTATAATTCAGGACAAAGTGAAATATTTTAGACTGCGTGACTGCTTCTATGTAATTAACAAACTCAACTGAGTATTAAAAGGGAAAGTCTTTGAGTGAATGCAGAGATGGTCCCTTGCTTTTGGACATAAATGTAACGTCACTATCTATGTACGTGTTCTCGAGTTCGGTAGGAAATATAGTCCTTCAAATCACCTTCATTTTCACACGCAGGAAGTTGATTCTTTCTCGAAGAGCACGATGACGGATAATAGCCTATTTATCTCTCTCTCTCTCTCTCTCCCTCTCTCTCTCTCTCTCCTCTCTCACACTCTCTCCTTCTCTCTCTCTCTTTCTCTCTCTCTCTCTCTCTCCTTCTCTCTCTCTCTCTCTCTCTCTCTCTCTCTCTCTCTCTCTCTCTCTCCAGATTCCACAATTTAAGAAACACTGAATGCACTTTTCATATTTGTACGTATCACACTATTTTAACTGTTTTTGACAAATACATTTTAATTCGAAAATCAATTTATTATAATCTTCAGCTACTGAAAAACAATGATAACAAAATGGTTGAATATTTTAAACAAAGATTTCTTGCAATTCTTCCCACACACATTGCGCTGTGATACTGTTAAATAAATCCAACCGAAGTTCTTTCTACTGTGATGTGAATTACAAATTACTGATCTTTTGTCGGGGCTCGCTTGTAATCTTCTGAATAACTTTTAAAAATTCAATTTTTGCCTGTAACTTCTGTTCTTCCGTCAACTTCTTGAAGGCTGCTACTAAGGACAATAAAAATAATCGATCTTCATCGCTCTCTTCATTCATTTTGTCTTTCATCATGTTTATTAAGGATTTCCCGTAATATTCCGCTGTCTTTCTGTAATCTTTGTTGCCAGCAACTTGTAACGAACGGGATAATTCCGTGTTCAGTTTAATTCCACTTCCTTCACCTCTTTCTCCTCCGCTGTCCGGAGTAAGTCGAGCCAGGGCGTCTTCGATGGTGCTGTCCTTTTTATCCAGTAATTCAAATAACGAACTGCTAGTTCTCATTTCCGACCCGTCGATTGTTGGCAGCAAAAACTTCAGCCTGTCAAAGTATACGTATCTTCTACGTTTCCTGGATCCCTGGCCTTTCAGTTGTTCGTTTAATTCCCGTTTAAAACACGTTCGCAAATTTCTCCAGCGTTTCTGTATTTGTGATCCTGAAAGAAACACGTACGCTGCTAAGTAATTACAACAAATAAAAAGAAATCGCGAAAGTCATCAGTCGAAAAAGAAGCAATTCTCTATCACGAAATCATCAGAAATATTTTTGGTTTTATGAATAAAGAATAGCGTAACAAAAAACGACAAAGTAAATAGTTTTCAAACTAAAAACAGTTCGTTCTTAAGGGCCAGAAAGTAAAATATACCTAAGTATACGAGAAGAGAATTATTTATGAGTCTTGAACGAAAATAATCTTTTGAAAAAAATTGTTCGTGTTAATAATAGTGATGATAGTAATAATAATAATAATAATAATAATAATAACAACAACAGTTTTAAACTTAGAAGAGTTAAATGATATGTTGCAATATTCAAGAATGATTAACATTTTATTTATATTTAAACTGACATTGAAATAACGTAAATAATTCTGGTAATACTTTCATTAAATGTAGATCTGTAACATTATTCATACATTTGTTTAGTGGAATTGCTTAAGTTTGATGTTTCTTTACTTATTGGCAGCGGTTACATCTTCAATACTAGCTATTTCGATATATACATTATTAAATTACTCCAAGGTTATCAGAAAACAAGCGGTGTAAATACGCACCATAAAATATTCTCTGGTGAAGAGTCATGTCTTTCCAGTTCGGTATTACAACTTCAAATACCTCGTTCCATAATTTTTCTCGTAAGTGCTTGTCTGTATGCTCTTTTAGACCTTTATCGTATAACGCAGGTCTCTCAGAAATCATAGATATCATTTTATCAATTCGCTCTTCTTCAGATTCCATAATTTAGCAAGAACAGGCCAAGTCACAAATGATAGGAAGTAAGAAAACTAAACACAGCGCAACCTCGTCCCTGCTGAGAGATTAAGTTGGCCAACTATTCTTCTGTTTGTGTTCGCAATCAGGTTGTCAAACTTCCGAACAACGCAGTCGGTCGATTGTTTTTGTCTATTCTTTGATAGACATGACTAAGTTATGAACCGCGTGAAATTGCAATGCAACCACGGCTATGAAATCGCTGCTAAGTTTGCTATTCCGTGTAAGTCCTACGAAGTATTCCTAGGTAAATTATTGTGAATTAATTTTCAATGCGTATTTATAAATGAATATGTAGTACACCTTTTCTGCCAACGGAAAACCCAAAGCATCTTTATGTACAATGTCTACAGGGGCCGACGTTCTCTGTCGCATATGTAGCACCGAAGAAAGAATCAGGGCAGGAAAAACCTTACGCAGACGAAACGGAATGTGCGTAACATAAGTGTAGTTATTTCTATTGCCAGGAAAGTAATTCTCCTAATAATGTCTTAGGAAAGTACATGGAGTTTCAGCGCGATAGAAACGTTTACTATTTGGGAAATGTGCTGTTCATTTTTATTTATTTATTATTTTGAGTTAATGGGCCCGCCGAATGCTGAGGTCATTGAGCCCCTTGGTGATCTAATGATTAAACGATAGCTTTTGATTGATTAATGATTTCTGGTGCGTCAACTGCTAAGGTCATTAGTCCCGTAGGTGAAATGCATACTTTCATCGCAGGAGGTGGTGTGAAATTCTCCCATTTGCAGACGTGATCCGGCGCTGACTTACATCGGCTTGCGGGTATTTTCCCCAACCAGGTATCTCTTAACGCCCCAGCTGCGACATGCTCCAAGCTCCCGAATGGTCTCTCGGTTATTTTCGTAGTTTAGTGCACGAAGGTGAAAGTGTAAGTGTGTCGATACAAGGAAGAGGAAGGGAAAAAGATCGCGCGCGGCTCATGGCCCGTTTGATCACGTACTCCATCCGCTTCGCTTGGTGTTGAATGAAGCAACCACGGAAAACTACCGACCGGAGCAGCCGGCCGCTAAAATTCCCCTCCAGGCAGCGGCCGTATTCGACCTTGCTGTGCAGCTAGTGACGGAAAATCCTGCCACCGTCGGGACTCAAACCTTGAGGCCTTCCGGTCAAAGGTGCTCCAGAGACTTGAGTTGATGCTCTGAGCCGTCTTCGCCGGTTTAGAGCATCGCGATATTGACTTCGAGGCGAGTGATGGAGCTGAGGTGGAACGCGAGACAGATTGTCATTTGTTGACGGCAGGCTTTGTGAGGGTGGGGGCTTGGAGAGGTTCGATCCCCGGAAGCGGCGCTCACAGAAGACACGCGTCGTCAAGAGCTACTTGCCTGCCTGGGAACATACACGCATTCTAAATATAATATTAAATATAATAAGCATAAAATATTCTCAATTGCACCCATAAACGAATATATAATATGATTATCACAAGACTATTATTGGAATTTGAAGTTCGTAATTCATTTGTTAAACGCAATGTTATTCATCATTGCATTGACTAGAATGTACAAAATTAAGAGCTCCAAGCCATGCTATTCTCACAAATAAGAAAGCTCAATGTTTCCTACAGAGATGTATAGAAATTCTGTCACGAATTCACTGCTGATCTCAGTCGAACCCCTCCCCTTCTGGTCTACGAATTCTACGCTGCGCACCGCGCGACTTCGAGAGAGTGGCAAGCGAGGCAGCGGAATTGTATTCTCTCTTTCGCAATTCTCAAAGAAATATTTTGAGATGGGCGACTTCGGGGCGACCAAATCACGTGGTAGCTTATCCTGAATTTTTGCACTGTCAGCGGTCACTGGCGCCTAACAAATACCTCCGCTTTTTGCGGATTATAAGGAAACCGTGGGCCTTACTTTGTGCGTCGTGGGGCAGATGGCGAGAGCGTCGAATACTCCTTCGGAGAATTGCGCTTGAAGTTCGGCTTTCGCTCTCACTGGCAGAATGCAATTCCGGGTCCCAGCCGTCCGTGGAAATGCTATCCGGACCACGTGTCGTTACGAACACGTTTGTGGCTCGGTACGCCAGTCCCAATGAACTCTAATTGGATTTACTTTAATACCATTTCCGTCACCATATGATGCGGTGGTTGGGAAAATGGTATACGAGATATATAATAACTTAATTAAGAAAAGAGAAAGAAAAAAGACCGCGGAAGAGAAAACGTAGTGTGGTCTTAATGCTTGTACACGTGTTAACATCTTTCACATGAGAAAACTTGAAACTTTAATCTTACACTTTCATGAATAGTGTTACAAACAGAATAATTACCTCTTGTTGAGAGCCTTTCTTGAAACTATTTACAGGCAGATTATAACATATTTCCGTTTGTACGTCTTCACTGCTGACGAGAACGTCCTGTACACGAAATTACTTCTGATGAAAATGGGACGATCCGCTCTCAGAAATCGTTGACATGGTGTGTACAGGTCGACTCGAGGTATCAATTCTACTACGTTGATCATTTCAATACGTTGTTCAATGTTGCTGGTGTCAGCAAATGCTTAAGTCAATAGTCGTCTGTCTTAGGGTGAAGGACGAAGTATTTATCGTATGAGAATACGTTATCTGTTGCAATACATCTTTTAGTATCTTGAAACATGTTCTTTTTGATTCAGTCCTCATATTGTCACATCATTAAGATATGCAAATGTATCGGTTAGTATCTAACTATTGTCAATACATCAATGAGAATCTGCAATTTCATTAGCGACACGAAAAGCAATTATTTTCAATTGAAAAAAGCTGGCGATTAGATTCAAATCCCGTATATTGACTAACTTCTTGACGGATCGGAATATGATATGAAGATCAATTGTAGGGGATACCGTTCTACTTACGAAAAAGGTTTCATTTTGATCTTTTATGACTACTAGAGAAAATTTGTTCTCGAATTTTCCGTCGCCCTCCATACTTTAGACTCTCACAAAGCATGCAAATTTCTGACAGCGCAAAAGTATAATATTAAGAGTGCGCAAAAATTAAAACCGCAAATTGATTTCTGTGTTCGTAGGTAAAACCCCTTGCGTCTGAGAATATATATCTTACCTACGAACAAATCGTTGTACCTACGACCAGCGGTATGAGTATCTATCTACAACAGTTGGATAAGATGTAGTATATAACGAAAATAAGATATATTTCTTTCAAGTTTTTTTAAAATGTCAAATACTAACGTAGATTAACTTTGTAAAAATTAAACACAGTCATTAATTACGAATGGGTATTTTAGATTGTATTTCAAGTAAACTCAATTGTCTAAAATTTACGACTCATATAAGAAATCAGTTTGTTTTCAAAAAATATCTTATCAGTCTAAAAAATTATAGTAATATCACTGTTGGTATTTGCCACAAAAATGAAATCAAAGAGGTAACACTTGCAAAATAAAATCGCAAACAAACATTTTTCTTCATGGCCAATTAATCAATAAACAACAAGAATAAGCATATAAATTTAGGAACTTTTTGGAAATTGCTTTTCAAGGACTTTGCTGGGTAGTTTCTACCTTAAGGCAAAATATGAAAAATCCACAGAAAATGTGAAGGGTGTTCTATCAGTGAACCCCACAGAAGTAGGTTGAGGTAATTTGAATAAAATATGCTCATTATCGATTTCATATTCTCCTGTATCATAGGTAAATTTCAGGTTGTCGCCTGTACTCAGTTTCTTCAAATATTTTGTATTGAAGCATTTAGCACCAATTTCTGCTGTTACTTCAGCCACAAAATGCCTGGTGAATTTTGGTTTTCTCGCACTGATTAACGTAAGAAGAGAAAGTATTGTTATCTTGCACGGGAAAACGCGAATTTTCGATACAAAACTCTTATTGCCGGGCCCTCGTAACAAAAAAGTGAATAAACCCAGTTGCTAAATATAGAAAAAGAAATTTCTGTAATGTGTGGTGTAGCCAGAATACATGTTTTGTGCATTCCTCATACCATACTTAGCCTGCTTATACAAAGCCTTACCATTTTAATAAAGCCATTATTAATATACACAAGAGGAGTCTTTCCACCATCAATAACCCTTACCCGAGTCTGAAATATTGGTTTCTACTAAATATGAATTATTGTTTGTTTGTTTTTTCAGATAACTTCGGTTTTAGGATTTTACTCTAGCGTAAACATGATTGGACAAATGAATATGGAAGAACGACGCTGGGGCCCTATGAGTAGTAACGGTAAGTTACTTTCACCTTTGTTCTGTTCGGTCCAAAGGCCGTGTATGTGTTACGCATGCTTCACATGCTTCGAATTGAAAAGTGATTCGTTTGGTCTGCGCATGGCCTAATTCGTAAGGCACATACCCTTTTCCGTTCCATTCAATGACCCAAGTAAGAGCTAACTAGGGAACCCGTGCGAGAACTCTCGCATGTTAAACTCGACCCTCTTTTCTATCCTTTCATTTCCGTATTAAGGGGGAAAGTTGGTAACAAAACGTCTTTACTCGTTTAAAAAATGTATAAAGGTAACTTCCAATGCTCTTATAGAACATATAATAAAAATAACAAAGAAAATTGATGTTTAAACAAATTTAGAATAAAGAATTATTCATTGTTATTGACATATTTTCATGGAACAATTTACAGTAATTGCTTAAAAACAGCATTTAAAGTAATTAGAGAGCCGTGCTTCACAGTTAGTTTTTCACTTTTCTTGATAGTCACAAAAATATTAGAAAAGCTTTTTTCTTATAAAACCGCTACATAAATTTGTCCATGCAAAACTACAGGAGCGGCAAGTACAAGCCTACTTTTAGGAATATTACTTAACTTTATTACCGAACTGAGAGGTAACCCGCGCAATTCAATCTGCTCGAAAGTCAGTAGTAGCGTGATCACATGCAGTATCTCAAGTAGTCTAATTTCACATACAGATGCAGATTCTGCACGTCTGGCATAGTATCGAGTCGGTAGGTCATACTGGGGTAGTATCGAGAAGCGCCGGACCAACAAAATGTAATAGAATGTTTAAGATGCTCTCTTTCTACAGACTATGGTGCAAGAAACGTGTCTTTGAGACCACTGGCCTCAAAATTCCAAGTTTGAAGGCCCCACAACGCTTCGTTTAGGAGTTATTTAACTAAATACATTGCATTTTACGTGAATATTGAGATGCGTCTTTTTTCAACAAATCCTACATGATTTAATCTCCAAGTGAAATTCGTCACGTCTCGCTGGAATTCTCTTTCTTTAGAGTCCTCATTTAAAAACATTGTTTGCATGTGAGAGCCACAAAACTCATCTATACTACTGAAATAATATAGAAGGGGAATTTCTATAATACGAACAATAAAACCTGAGGTGAAGTAGCAGCATCTGCACTATCGTATGTTGTGCCATCAATATTTACAAAATTGCTGTTTAAAAAATATTTGATGTAAATTTCATGGAACATTAAAACGATGCAATCTGACTCTAGTAAGGTTTTGAATTTCTACTTAGCACACTTCAAAATATTCTTATCTGCTTACTATGTTCTGTTCGTATTTGTTGAGAGACATATCCTGATTTTCTAACATTTGTATGCATGAGCGATAGGAGAAAACAAAATACTGCAGAAAGGAGACAAATTACTGTATCTGTAACACTGTTGTTCAATAATTAATTAATTAATCTGTTTAATGATATATTTAACTTGCTTTCACATATCATCTAGATCTTTCACTAACTTGTTCAAAATAGCATTTACAACACTGAATATACTACGAAAATCGTCTTCCTAGTTTTCTTACAAATGCTTTACACTGTCGAAGATTTAAATTAATTTGTTGAAGTTACTAACCACACTAAAAGCAGTATTATTTCCCAACGTTTTTAATGCAATATCATGACTGAACATGTTGACTTGAAAATGTTACTGAAAAACTCTGAGAACGAAAATACGGACACAGGTCAACTAATCCAAACAAGACACGGTGTTCACTTTTCACAATACACATCCATATTGTTTCTTTCTTCTTTTTACGAAGAGCATCAAAAGATGTAAGAGATCTCTTTCCATCATATGAGTAGTTTTCGTTTCTGAGCGCTATGATATTGCCCTTCGCAATGTTTCTTAACCGTGTGCCTTCTTTTGCATTCACGCAAAATACCCTGGTAATTTCGCTCCTTTTAATGAGTCTCGGTCATCCCATAGACCACTAGAGCTCCTTTCGTGACTTCTTCATAGCATAAAGGCTTGCAGCGAATTTTACTTTTCTCAAAATGCAGTACACTCACATTCAAAGAAATAAGAGAAGTAGGTGAAACAAAGTATCGTCTCCTGTATTATTTCAGTAGTGTACATAGCTTTTGCGGCTCTCATTCGCAACCGATCTTTATAAATGAGGTCTCTAAAGAAAGAGAATGAATTTACACTTTGACTTTAAAAATATGACGGATTTGTTTAAAAAAGCATCTAAATATTCACATTAACCGCAGCACTCAGTCAGCTACATCTATGAATAACTTCTAAACGTAGCGTTCTAGAGCCTTAAACACTAAAATTTTGAGGGAAAATACCTCAAAGAAACGTTCCCTGCACCATAATCTACAGGATAAGATATTCTTGGAGATTCTCTTTTTTCTGATTCGGCACTTATCGTTACTACCTATGCCACAAAGATTTCAACCCTTGGTGGAGGTGGCCGTCTTAGTGACGTCACGCTTAGAAGTCTTAGATCCCTCTATTATACGAGTATTTTTGTTTTCTGTGTACATCGAGGTTTACGCATACTGACGAGGTTTGTTTGGTTAATTATTAATTAAAGATTCGCTCTCGCAGCAACAACTAGCAGCACTATTAATAGTTTCTCGATTCCGATGATTTTTTCGTATGCGTGTAGTGAAATCATTCATTTAACGTTTTGTCGAAATCTACAAGTGCTGTTTACCTAATTGTGGAGGTATGTGGGTGTACAGCGAAGAGTGAAGACGTGTCTTGTTAGGTTTGGTTTGTGTTTTACCTTTACCAGTATTTTAACGAAAAGTAGTAATTCGGAGAATCAGAATCACCGATCAGCAGTGATTCGGTGAAACTTTGAAGTCTGCGTGTTCATTCAGATACCTTTCTCACGAGTAAAATGTTTTTTTAAAAATATTTTTGTGTGGATCACGAATAGCGAACAGTTTCGTTAACAACTTTTTATCTTAGAACGAAAATGTAATAATAGGGAAGAGTGTGGGGAATTTAACATGCGAGAGTTCTCGCATAGGTAAATTACTAGGGGAAAACAGCACAACACAAAGAACACACTTTTAAATTAGCTAAAATAAAATAGCCTGAAATGAATGAACAACAAAAATCAAAACGTGCTCGCCTACAATACTACGTGAATTAATTTTTAAAAAGCAACTGAATTTAAAATTGTACAAATAATAGCGCAAGTCATAACTTACACGCACGATTTACATGTTGGCGGTATGTGAAAGTCTGTACATCAATGCCCAGCGGTAACTCATATTGTTAATAATACACCGTTTGATATAAAATTTAAGGTGTCGGTTTCCTAAAATATTCAATACGTAAACATCGTTTGAGCAACATTCCCATGTACTGAAGTGAAGTGTAAGCTTAAATAGTATTGTTTGTTTCTAATGGTAGCAAATGGTATTTATTATTCAAAGGTGAAGTTTTATTTTTTGACTCGGAATTGTTTCTCCTGAGGTACGTAAGGACGCAGAAAATAATCCATTACTTTTTTGTATACATAATGATTCAATTTTCCCATCCATCAAGCTGGTGTCTTACCCTACCCCTCCAAAACCCCTTCTGTCCCTCACAACGAATCCAAGAAAATTAAATAATATTGCATAGAGTAGGGTTGATCTTGCCCGATCATGTATTTTTGCACGTAACATTTTGGTTTTCTCAAAAGTAAAAGCCTTTTCTAATATTTTTGTGACTATCAAGGAAAGCGAAAAGCTAACTGCCAAGGATCTTAAAATGTTTTTAAAGAAGTATGAATTGTTCGAAGAACTTATCTTTAGAACACTGAATAAACTTTTATTGAAAAATTGTTTCCAACATTAATTGCATTGTTTTTATTTTTGTTTGATATTGTGTAAGTACGAAGTTTCATTTATACGTTTTGTACGAAGTAAAAACGTTTCATTAACACCTTTCCTTCCTGATGTAAAGGATAGAGAAATAGATATGAGAAACGGAGAGTTCTCGCACGGGTACGCTATTAACAATTTTTTTTAATTGACTTATTTCGTAGTTTCTTCATCAATTGACTATAAAGATCTTGCGGAAACGGGAAGTGAACGGTTGGACTACGCATACAAAAAATTTTTATCGGTATCAAGCAGGTATTAATACTTGTAGCTGTTGCGAGAGCGAATCTTAAATTAATGTTCATGCAAATAAATCTCGTCAGTTTGCGAAAAAAACGATGTACACGGAAAGCGTAAATATTAGATGGGGGAATCTAAACATTCTAAACGTGACGTCACAAAGATGCCACCAGCCCAAAGGGCTGAAATACAGGCTGCATTGGTAGTATCAAGCACCCAACCGGCAAAAATGTAATTGAATGTTTAAAAATATCGCATCCTGTAGATTGTGATGTGAAGAACGTTTCTTTGATGTCTTAGGATTGAAACTCTTGTTTTTTAAGATCAAACAATGCTTCGTATGGGAATTATTTAACTACATACATTTTGATAATGCTATCGAACGTTGCGGATTGCATTTGATATGAATATTTTAAAAAATTTTTTTGACAAATACATCACATTTTAAACTTCAACATGCGTCACGTGTCCGTGAATTTTTTTGAGACCTAGTTGATAAGGATTGGTTTCCAATGAGAGTCGCAAAATGTATTAGTACTACTGAAATAATATAGGAGACGATGGAACTACAGAATAAAAAAGTATTTCTCGTATATTTAGAATTCTAGTCTTCGAAATCTGGGATAGCTTTATGGTTTTCCTCGCCGGTGTTCTCTGTCGCTATACTTCGCTAATGCTATTCGTATATCAGTGCCTACAAGACTTACCAGGTCCTACAAAGCGTATCAGGTTCTACCAGAACCTAAAAGGTGTATCAGGGCGTAAAAGGCGAACCAAGGTCTACCAGGGCTTAAAAGACGGCTTTACCTGTACCTTAAAGGCGTACCAGGGTCTACCACGATCTTAAAGGCGTACCAGTGTCCCCCAGGACCTTAAAACGCACCAGGATCTGTTGCGTTACATGGCGCCCCCTTTCCAAACTTAAGAGTACCTTAACGCACTCCGAACAGCGCATATGTCTCTCCGAACATGCACCTTTGCATATTTGCCCATGGATCCCTCGGTGCATGTTCGGGTGAGGCATCCAGTTCCTCAGTAACACACATCTACACGCACAATAGCTTGTGAAGTCAAGTTATTATGGAAGGATTCGGCTATCTACGTAATGGGCTGGTGAATCGGAAAACTCTTTACGCCAAATCACAAATAGGGCTGCCGGGTCTGCTTCGAAAAAATAGCGAACAAGCGGGCAGGGGGGGGGGTAAGATGTATTTAAAAAAAATACAATTGAATTATATATTTTCTTACAAGCATTTAACACATTAAAATAATAAATCTTCAAATCTACTTAACATTCAAAACATCAAATATAATAATAATAATAATAATAATAATAATAATAATAAGTAAAATACTGAATTTACATTGCTGTGGGGTGTATTTTTTATTTGACTTCGCAGATTTGATCAATTCTCTGTGTTTAAAGAATAATTCTTTAATTTCAGTACAACGTTGAGAAATATAAATGTAACATGTAAAGAGTTATGAAAAATATTATTTTAATTTTATATACTTTTGAGAGACAAATGAGTATAATTCTCTCTTTTTTTTTTCGGAGAATTGAGTTCAATAAATGTTCGATCTTTGTCTCATTCTAGTTTATAGAACAAAAACGAAACGCGATTCTCCTGTCCTTATTCTCTAAGACTGTACAACTTTAGGTTACGTACCATTTAATCACAAAGCTTTTGAATTTTTAAAAAAAAATTTCCACTATTTTTTCGCAAAATAGTAGGCAATGTGAAAAAGGCGGACTGTCCCCTCAAATAGTGGACACCTGGCAACCACAATCACAAACACGAAAACATCCACACATTACGCGGATTACTTCACCACGTCCTCCGACTCGCGTCCTGCAAACTCTTTGGAGATATGGATAGAAACCCGTAGGTACTCCAGGGCAATTGCTGACGTGTAAAAGTAGGAACTACAACTTATCATAAGCAATTGCTTCTTTTCATATTAATAAAAAGTTTCGTAAAACTTGGAGCATTTACTTCTCCCTCTGAGTAACTGCTCCCTAGCTGATCTGTTGCGATTGGTCAATTTTCACCAGTTTTGTTTGTCTACATAACTGCGCGTCGCGTGCTTGTTTCTGATGGGGTCGACCGTGTTAGGATAAGCGGTACACTTCGCGTGCATTGTTGACGAAATCGTAGGATATCTTCCATCATTCATTCGCTCTCCTAAAACCTCACAACCTGCTCTCAACAGTCGTCCAACAATCTCTCTTCTATCCATTCAAGACGATTTGAGACACCTACAGAGGTTGTTCCATAAAGTCAAAGTAAATTATCGAAAAATTTTGGGGAAATTTCGCAAAAAAGCTTTGGGAGCAAAAGCAAAGAAACCACGGCAAACAATCGACCGAACAACCGAATGCCCGAATTCTCCTCCAGGCTGCAGCTGAATTCAACCCAGCTGCAGAGCTGCTGTTGAAAACCCGCCACCGTTAGACCTGCCGATCATAGATGTTGCAGCGGCAACGGTTGTTGTCGCTGAGCTACATTAGCCGGATTCTCTTTCCTTACTCAGGACTCGAACCAGGGAGTCCCATGTCTTCAGGATTTATAATCTTCCTCGTGCAGTGTCATTCAGCAAGCTGCTGCAACTTCTACTCAGCTACTACTGTTAGTAAATAAACCAGCTGTCTCCGGCTCGCTAACTTGGTCTAAGAACGCTGTCGAGATAACGAACATGATATACTCCAACGAGTTCCAAGAAAGCCTGCGGCGATTCTGATCGGGACGTCCTAGGATTCGAGAACACACGTTGGTAGAATTTTCGATTCTACCTAGATACCTATATAGAACTTATCGGTAGTCTGGAGAAGAATTCTAGCGACCGGAGATGGAAAATTTTATGTGGTTTCACGGAACAATAACACGAGGCGAATGCCGCACCCTAACAAACGGGCGACGGAGAGCTCACGATCCTTTCTTCCCATTCCCTGTCCTACCCTCACCCCTTACTTACATACACGTATACTCATATGCCCTACACTACCGCACTTGTCGGGTGACTATTCGAGAGCCACAAGATGACGTGTAGCTCGGCACCGGGACTCAGCCACATCCGGTGATAAAAACATCCGCTGCACTCATAAGGGACTAATAACGATAGCAGTTTATGCGCCCGTAAACATGAAATAACGAGTCAATATAAGAAAGCTTCATTAATGGCAGCACTGTCGTTAATTCATTGATTTGACTGGCTAAATCGATAATGTTTTCCTACTGTTGCAGATGTGAAACGGCTCCTATTCGTGAATCTTGCGATAATTGGTTTTAATTGCATCATGGCAATCATCCTTATGATTGGAGTAATGCAGGTAAGAATGATAACTTGGGGGCAGATGTTTATGACCTAAAACATTGCCAAAAATGATCAATACAATTCTTTTAAAAGGCACTAAGAGTATAAGAAAATTACGTAAAAAATGTTATCAAAACCAGTTCGGATGAACAACCAAAGCTGGATACGTTTCTGATGTAATCGAGGCTTCTTCTCTTCATTCAAGTACACTCAGTGTGTAGACTTCTGATTAGGACTCTTCTTTTCCAGATAAATATCTGTCTTTAGTTATCCCGAAATCGGTTAAACTGACAAAGGCGCTGACAATCATCACAGGAAGCTTAGGTTACATACAACGGCTAACATGACAATTTCTGAGTAAAGAAATCGAATAGACTACTCAGGATCTCTGAGGAGAACATTTGTTGAATCTCGCAAATATTATTTGAAACAAGTACCGATAATATGATATTAATATCCATAAAATCAGTAAAAGAAACCATTAAAAATTACTGGAAAAAAGAAAATTATTCGAAATTGACGAAAATGCACAAAAATATCACAAATTTTACATCATTTTCTTACGTCATAACATAAAATGAATTTATATACTAAACGGAGTTGTTCGAAAGTGAAAAGAAAAATATGACATCATTAAAATCTGCCTCTAATGATAACTCTTCAAATGGTGGGCTACTTATTTAGTGCACAAGAGTTCAAACATTGTCAGGGCAAAAACTCTCTAAGGGTAAAATTTCAAATGCAATCATTGTAATTTATTTTATATAAAAATATGAAATAATGTTTAATTTAACAAAATAAATTAACTCATTCGTTTACTAATGTGGAAAAAAATGATAAACGAGTAGACTGAAACGTAGTAAATCTAATGAGATATATACAGGGTAAGTCACGTAACTTTAGCACTTCCTGCAGTTCTTGAACTGTTGAAGGTATTGCAGTCAATTTTCACGGCAGGGCTTGAAGAAATTGGGCTAATTAAAGCGTGTATTCATTTCTATTTTATCACTAGAATTTTACGAGATGTCGAGGTAACATAATTCTTTCCAATTGAACTATACGTATTTCTTAGTCTATTTGACCGATGTAAAAAGAGAAATCTAATAATATAAATACTGTCATATAATTAATATATTTTGAGAAATTTTGATTTCTTACAAATTGTGTTTAACAAATATTTTGAATGTACCAGTTCAAAACACTCTCTGTAACACATACAAGGTGTGATAAAAAAAAGACTCGACTATTCCAATTACAGGCTTATTTTTCATATGCATTTTAATCAAACTTGCCACTTTCAAAATAGTGTCCTTGGCTAGTAACACACCTATTCCAGAACTTCTGGAACGCTGCCCCTGAAATCCTTTTGAGTTTAGTTGTACAATTTTGTTGAATGTCTGCATTTGGTGCAGAAACGAAACATACTCGTACGTTAACTTCATGTACTCTCACATCAATACATTGAGAATAAAATAAAGTAAAAGTGCGAGAAGGCAAAAATAGAATTAATATTGCCATTTTCAATAGGAAATTACAATTAAAATTAAATTAACTATTTTTCATATCATTCATTCAATATTTCTCCAGGCTCGTAGCTGCTATGAAACATGTATATATTTCAGTAATTTCAAGAAGGAATACCGCAAAAGCTACTAGTTTTTTCAAAAAAGTTTACCTAACCTTTTTTAAGAGCTAATTTTCTACAATAGACTTTGTCTGAGGCAAAAATATCTGTCTTTAATTATATAATTTGAAACGTTTTTTGCAATTTTCGAAAACCTGAACAATATCCGATAATAAAACTAACAACATATTTTTCACAGTTCCTTATTACATATGTGAAGAAAATTTAAAGAAAAAATTTGGAGCGGTTGTTGAGAAATTTTAGTAAATTTAAACCGCAAACTAAGAAAAACTACTCCATTATTTTAAAAAAAATGTTCATGATGTTTTTTAAAGAGCTAATTTTGTGCAACAGACTTTGACTGAAGGAAAAATCTCTATCTTCGATTTTGTGATTTGATTCTTTTTCAATTAGAGATACATAAGTGAAGAAAATTCAGAGAAAAAATTTGAAGCGGTTCTCGAGGTTTTTTTTGTATATATTTCTATCACAAAATACACAAAAACTACTCGTTTTTTCAAAAATTTTACATGACCTTTTTAAAGAACTTATTTTGTATAACAGACTTTCAGACAAACATTTATATCTCCAATTTTCAAGTTTTAAAAATTAAAGTTTAAAGCATAGGGAATGACAACAAAAATGAAACCTGCACCACTCTCTTAGCGTCCTTTGCACTGTAGTACCAACAAAATTTAATAAAAGAATTTGGAGCCCTTTTATCAAAAAATATCACAGGGGCGTCATGTAAAGTACCCCCAAAATTAAAATATCAGTTTCAAACTCCAGGATCCGCGACCTCAGCTAGAATGTTTGGGGAATATGAATTTTCGAGAAAATAGGCTGAACAGTTTATGCACTAAAGTTGTTCACAAGCAGATTGACAGGCAGACGTTTTGCCGCCAATCCATTTTTCGGTAACAAGAACCAACAAAACATGGATTCTGGCTACACCACGTGATAGAGGACTTTTTCTAAATTAAGCAACTGGATGTATCTACTCTATCCTAACTAGGGCCCAGCAATAAAAATTTTTGGGTTGAAAAGTCGTCATTTCCAGCGCACGATTACAATACTTTCTCTAAGAGCGAAAAAGTAAAATTGTAGATAACAATAATGAATGAGGGTAAACATTCGACATTTCTACTCAATTTACTTGAACATATATTCAAAATGTCCACAAACTTTAAAAACAAAAAATTGCAGAACGGAGTGGTGTGTCGCGCACCGTTGGATAACATTTATAATATGGTACATCAATGGTTGTGGCGGCTGTCACTTAGTGATGACAAATTTAGTTTTTTCAAAATTTGCCTTTACTTAATTTGTATTCTGTTTTAATGTAATTATGTATGCCTGCATAAACATGCAGACGTGTTCTATATTAACATCCGTGTTCTCTTTTCCAGAAAGTTGCATTGCTTCTGAAGTTGTGGATCATATTTAAAATTGGGTGTGTGATTTTCAACATCATTGGAAAAGTCTTTCTATTGAGAATAGCCCATGAACACGCCTCGACGCCTTCCGTTGGCGGCTTTGTCGTTAGACAAATGCTTGGCACTGGTAAGTGAAGGAAGTAGCACAGACGGGGTTTGCAACGGAAGTGTCGTCACCGATGGCGTCACCACGTGCGTAACATCTACCGCAGGGAGGACGTCATGACCTTGTCACGGATGACGTCAGGACCATGGCCGACCGAGTATGACGTCACGCGAGAGAGCGCCAGCGGTGGGCGAGGGGAGGGGGAGCGGAGCCGCGGGGGAGGTGGTGGAGGGAGCGGGAGGGGGAGGGGGAGGCGGCGGGGGAAACGGGACACCGAGCGACCGACACAAGCCAGACGCAGGGAAAAAGACCGTGACAGTGGTAGCGTGGAACGTGAGGAAGCGGAGGGGTAGGCGAGAAGAGAGAAAAAAAAAAACATGACACATGATCAGGTAGAAATACAGATCATTTATTTACGTTGTAAGCGATGAAAGAGAATTCAGCGAAGAGCAAAAAACAGATAAAAGTAAACAAAACAAAAGTGGGGGGTACGCACAGTAACAAAGAGTCATATTGCAAAAACAAACTGAGTTGACAACACACGCGTGAGCAGCTTGTACATGTTGGTCGGTCCGGATCCAAACGTAAAAATATGTACGCTGCTCGAACACGGCGATGGTAGCAGCATAGAAAACGGGGAGTGCCGTTTGACATCTTTTACGTGTACATCACCTCCAGCTAGCAACAGGTGCAGGAAAGTCACGTTGTCGTGCGATACCGCGTAGTGGAGTTGGGTGTGGCCAAGCGGTGTGCGCGCCGTGGTGCAAGATGATTTCCACGGAGTCCAGGACGTTATGATAAACAGCGTGGAGGGGTGCTGTAAACCCACACGTACCAACGTCGTTGACACAGCCTTCCCAGACGCGGTGTTTAAGGTGGTCCACATAATCCATGGCAGACGCAAAGAATATCGTAGGGGGTGGTTGTAAAGAAGGCATATTATACGCCAACGCCATTACTGCGCAAAATAATCTGAAAATAAGCAAAAGAGACTAACGATCAAGTTCACAACGCTGTCATGGTCACTTTTTACGTCTCCGTAAAGGCCACGGACCGTCGGTGGCGTCGTCTTCAGGTTGGTGATCTCGTGCGCGTCACTAAACACAAGACTCTCTTCGACAAAGGCTACACCCCTTCGTGGAGAACCGAATTGTTTACCATGTCTCGCGGTCATCTTTCCACCCTTGTTCCCTATACCCTCGCCGATTCAGCCGGCAACGAGGTTGCGGGTCGTTTCAACCTAGAAGAGTTGCAAAAAGACCCGTTACCCGCATGACGTCTTGGTGGAACGTGTGATACGCAAAAAAGATTCGCCGCGCCTTGTCAAATGGTTAGGCGTTGACTCGCGTGACAACTCGTGGATTCACGTCATCGATTTGATAGGTTATTCGACGCTAGGCTGTTGTTGCGACCACGTGTCTCGCTCACCCCACACGTTGCGGCATATAATGTTACGTGGCCGCCGCCGCCATTGCCCCCCCCCCAACCTGTTCCTGCTACATATGAGTGCGCGCAGCCCTCGTTCCCTCACAGTGCATTCGACGCCTGCATTGCGCATGCACACAACAACCTGTGGCTAATCTGTCTTCGTCCGAACCTGTGGAACGTGCATATGGCAGCATTTTGCACGTCGACGCGCAAGGCTTTACGACGCCCACGAAGACATTCATCTTTAAGGTGGGAGGGGTTCTCACCCTTTGACAACACACCACCTATCACCACGAATGTCTTCCAATCTCCGCACTCTTGGGAGTCTGATAACGATCGCTCCATCCCGTAAGGGCACTTGAACGACACTCCTCACCAACGCATCATCGCATATCTTTGTCAAGAGTTTGCAAAAAATAAATTGGTTACGTTCATATGCACCTTCATCCTGTATGTTCATCGATTGGGAGTCTTGGGGATGTCTACGTCTCGACATGTGTGCATAGTGCCTTCACTCGGCACCCGTTTCCTGTGTGGCGGATCAGCACACAGAATATTATTGGTCTTTTGCATTGGATGGACACTGCCCACCTGTGGGAACTCGTGACACCTCTGCTACGCACCATTCTACGCAGTCGCGGCAATTGTGTCTCCGTCTGAGTTCGTCACATCCGGCTGCCTGCTTCTTCATCAGTGTGTCGCTGTTACGCGTCATGACGCAACAGAATGTGAATGACGTCCGTGGCCGCAATGATACTGCTGCGGACGTCAACCGCGCGCTTGCCGAGTACCTACAGTCCGACGCAGGCGCACTAACGACTTTTAGAACGCGACACGATGCTCAATTTACCACCATGCGTGTTTTTGCTGCTGCGTCCCCATGCAATTGACAGCGTCTGGCGTCGTCTAGCTGGTGAGCCTCGCCAACAAGCGTGCTTCCGAGAGGGTCGACCTTGCAAACACCACAGTGCTTATTTACAACTCGTGGAGGAATTTCTCTCTCCCAAACGTATTCGCGACTGTGATCGCTGTCGCACCGCCGCCACCACTCCATCGCCGAAGAAACGACGCACTGCGACTCAACGTTGTATCGTCGATTTGCGAACATCACATGGTGTCACCGATAAATCTGCTACATAAACTCTCCGCGGTGTTTTCACTTATGTAGTGCCTTTATAATTACTTTTTTGTGTTTATTATAATTTTTCATTCTGTTTTTTGTACTGTGTCATTCCGTTCTGTTTACGTTTTGTATTTTTTTCATTATTAATACAAACGTCAGACGTGTTTCTGCTTGATCATGTGTCGTGTTTTTTTCTCTTCTCGCCCACCCCTCCGCTTCCTCACGCCCCACGCTCCCCTTGTCACTGTCGGTCTCCCTGCGCCTGGCTTGTCCCGGTCGCACGGCGACCCGTTCCCCCACCTCCTCCCCCTCCCGCTACCTCCACCACCTCCCCCGCGGCTCCACTTCCCCTCCTCTCTCCCACTGCTGGCGCTCTCTCCCGCGCGTCCCTTCGTCAGTCGCCGCTCGTACAGTTCGCGCAGTGACGTCATAGTCATGACGTCATCCGTGACAGATCATCCCTGCGGTAGATGTTACTCACGTGGTGACGTCATCGCTTACGTCACTTCCGTTGCAAAACCCGTATGACTGTGCTACTAAAGGAAATATAACTCGAAGAACTAATTCCTTCTAACTAGCATATATCTTTACAACTATAGTTGTAGAGAGATGCCGAAAAGTTTTAAATTTTTCAATTTTCAAAAAATCAGGCATGTCAACGATCATGAGACCTGCACCATTCTCTTAAGCGTACTATTTGGTATCTAAGGTCTAAATTTGAAAAAAATAGGTCGATATTAAGTAACATTTTTTAAAGAAAATAAAAAATTGCCTATGTATGACACGCAATTTCACACAAAATATTAATGTCTTCGAAAAATTGAACATGACATTTTTAGATCTTTTTCATGAACACATTTCATTAAGAAAAAATGTTGATCTTCATAATTGTAGTTGTAGGAAGTCGTCGAAAAAAATTTGAATTTTTGCAATTTTCAAAATATTAGTTTTTTTAACGAACATGAGACCTGCACCATTCTCTTAAACGTTGTTTACACTATTCAATAACAAAATATAATCAAAACCCTAGGTGATTTTTTTCAACATTTTGAAAACGTCTCAGGGGTATTATGTTAAATACCCCCAAAATTAAAATATCGTTTTTAAATTCAAAGGGACACGATATCAGCCAGATCGATTGGGAAATATCAATTTCGGAGAAAATCGGCTGAACGTTTTAGCCGCTAGCGTTGTTCACAGACGGAAAGAGTCTTTTGCCATCAATCGAGTTTTCGGTATCAATGATCCACAAAACTTGGGTTTTAACTATACCATGTGTTAGATGTTTTTTCCCCTAAATTTAGCAACAGGATTGATCCGCTTTTTCATTACCAGGGCCCAGCAATAACAGCTTTTCTGATGAAAATTCCCGCTTTTTCCGCTGCATTACATAACTTCCTCTTCTTAAGAGCGAGAAAGTAAAAATTTAATAAGAATGCGTGGAAACGTGAAAAGTGTGGAGCTTCACCTTGATTCTTTTCTCACTCCCACGCAAAACGACGCAAGACGAAAACTTCTTGCAAAGTGCTTTTTCATAAATAAATAAAAGAATGCGCGAGCGGTGGACATGCTTTCGATCGCCACCAGCGCAGCGTGACTGCACAGTGAGAAACTTCGTTGGAGGCAGGGAGCGAAGAGAAGAGAAAATCGCGGGTGGCTTGAGCTCAGCCAATGAGCGATTGATTTGGATTCGTTATAATTGAAGACGTTAAATTATACTGAGATATAATAGAATAAGAAATCCACGAGCATGTGATAAATTAAAAGCTGAGAATTTTGGTAAGACTTGCAAACCTAATATATTAATTTATTTATATTGTGAGAATAGTCTCACTCAATTGCACCGCCCGACAAGGCGTGGGTGGAAGTATTCTGAGAACATTCGAACAGGCAATGGGTTGCTGCTTTTACGTAATATTGTGCGAGCAACTGGCGTCGTATCTTAACATGGTTAAAATTGAATACAATTGGCATGTATTGGCTTGTTTGCATTGTATAAGGTCCAATTGCAATTGTATAACAAGACGTGTGTGTTAAAATAGATTTATAAAATAACAAATCATACATTAAATGATTAGTAAGCTTGTTCCCGCAACAGATGAGTAGCGCACCGCTGTAGCTTTTGTTCTTGTTTCAGCGATCTCGCTCTTCTCCATACTGGTGGTGTGCGTCAACTATCTCGACCTCACGTCCGAGTCGCCGGTGGAGCGCGCGAAACGTCAGCGCGAGACGCCTTCCTCATCTGACGAGGAGGGTTCGCCGCACGAAGCGGAGATCAGAGCGCTTCCTTGCACGACCTACGTTTAACGCGGCGAGGAAGCCCATCGCTACACGCTGCCTCAAACAACAGGCGACTTGTGCGTGATCTGGGCTGTCCGGGTGACGCCGCGTCCAAGGTTGTGTTGCCGACGTTTCCACCACCTTGTCGCGGTCTTCTTCAGGGCTGGTATGCCAAGGAAGCTGAGGAAGACCACGACAGGATGGTCGAAACGTCGTCAACACAACCTTCGACGCGGCGTCACCCGGATCACGCACATGACTCTGGCCGCGGAAGCCTGCGACTTCAAAAGGCGACTTGCCGCCAATTACGTTTTTAGGGACCCATCTACACTGACCGACGTAGACAGGAAGTAAACCGCATTTTTTTTAAATCCCAGTTTTAACAGAAGGCAACAAGTAACGAAGGAAAGCAGTTCAGTGTACTTCCCGTCCGCCCCCACCGCATTTAGTTTTGGGGAGCCTTCCGCGCGGTCCATTCCGCTGCACAGCTGATTACGTCCCCGCCAGCCGTCGGTAATTAGTGGCATGTCACTGAATACCGTGCGCAACATTTCGGCCGGTTATGCGCAGTGCGGCTTTCTGTGCTTCCCTGTGCGCAGTGTTGCTAGATGTGTTTATGGAGATTCCGCCATGTTCGTTTCATTTCCGCCGAACTGGTTTTAAATTTCTCGCCTAAATCCGCTAAACGTAAAATAAATTCTTTATCCATATTTAAATGTATTAATTCATTCAATTAAAACAAAAATGATTGCGAAATATAGTGGCTTCATTGAAACTACAATTCAATTTTTCGATAACAATTTATTTCAGATAGTATATATTTATTATATAAGTATTATATCATTTATTTTTGATAGTAACATGGATTTAGAAATTTTAAAAATATACATCTGTGCAAAACAACTTATTAATAAAGGTTAACGAAAACTGATGCTTTACTAATTTTACTTCTTTACTAACTTTATTAATTCCCGCCGTTTGTTCCGCTGTCCGCGAAACTAATTTTTTTCCGCCGTACGAGTTCAAAATCCTCTGAAAACGGCGGGAATTCCGGCGATATGGCAACACTGGCTGTGCGTCCGCCCGCTTGAAGTGGGTTTCCTGCTTTAGGAGGCGCTGCGTGCACAGGCAGCGGCAGGGCAGTAGACCTTAGTGAATACAGGGCCAAGTGGCAGGAACGAGGCTACAGTGCAAGAGTGAGCATGTGTGAGGTTGTGCTTGCCCCCCCCCCCCCATTAAACTGAAACCGGACGAGTTTAAAAGGTCATATATATCTGCGGCAACTTTTCCTATATACTTGGTAATTCACCTGGCGGCATGGAACTTGGAATTGTAAAAAGGATTTTCTCTTATTGGTGGAGAATAAACCGTTTGTAAAAAAAAGGTGTAATTGGTTTCATTTGTGAAGATCGACCACATGTAAAAGTGATCTGTACCTGAATAGATAAAGTAAATGTTAACGAGTAGAGCTAAAACAGCTCATATTTTCTTCCATTACTTATAACATTTGTAATATCCGAAAATTATGAGAGTTCACTAAAATGATACATACGCTATTTTTTAAGCTTTCCTCTATCAAAGGAAAACAAATTAAATCATTTCTGAGAGAATGTAAATTGTAAATGTAATTGTTGTAAACTAAATTTTCGCCATCGAGGAGGCACAAATCGTGCATTCTAACTACGTAATGAGTAAGATCAAGTCATTTACCATACGTATGAACGGGATTTTTCCACTTTTTCGTTAACAGAGTTCGTTAAAACGAGTTCTGACGAAAAAACCTACTTTTCGCAGCAGTATTACAACACGTTTTTACTATTTAAGGACGTAGTATGGCGCAAAAGTAAACCAGTGGCACAACAGAAAATTCTTTCTCACATTAATTCAATTTTTTCCCCTTTTAAAAAAATTCAGATACTGTACTTCAACGAAAATTAGAGGAGCGCCATTTCTTAAGGGTTCTTTGCTCTATGTATAGATAAAATTAAGAATACCCAGAAGACCCTATGCCTACTAGGAAAGCGACATCGATGTCGCCGTTCTTAAAACATCAATGTTTTAAACATTGATGTATTAACGCCGATGTCTTTTTAACCTTTGATGTTTTTTTCTTTTCCGATATTTTGTTGCTGAATAAAAAAATCCCATGATCACAAAACTGTAAAAATTAAAATATGAAATAATGGCTTATGTGTTGGACTCAAAGGAATTCTGTTTGTACTGCCTTCCTCGACGAAACTCTCGCCCGAAATCACCTCCGTCCTTGTATTTTCTCTTTCTTCATATTCCTTTGGCACATTGAGATGTGGGCAACAAATACGCTGTGGGCGTAGGGTCAGGCCCTTCGTCTTGTACTCTTATTCAGCGAATTGATAAAAACGAACACACTAATTAAATTTGAATGCACACGAATGTAATGTAATCCATACGAAAATTTAATGTTAAGAGGCTACTAAATTAGTCTTAAAACATCGATGTTGAAAAAGCGATATTTATTAGTCGATGTATTTTTTGATGAACATTTGAATTTTTAAAAATAAAAAATATTCACACCTACATTTTTTACATAATTTGTTTAAATAATAAGATATAATAAAAAGGCTATGCTAAACGTTGTAGTTTGACTTAATGAAGAAAGCCTATAAGTTTGAAGTGTCTAGCTCTAATAGTTTCGGAAATAATGTTCCTTATATACCACAAAACAAACATGTGGGAATCAGGTTTCAAAATTAAGCATGCATTTCTAGTACATTCTAGGTTTGTATGATGGATTTTCACAGTCACTCAACTTTTTCTCTTCTTTTTCTTGTCATTGTTGTAGTGTGTGTGTCTTGCTTCTCACATTCCCCTATTATACTCCCATAGTTTATTCCTCTCTTAGTTCTCTCATTGTAAAGTAAAAAGATTTGGAGATAATTTCGCACTGGAAACCGTGCATAGCAAGGTTGTTACGCAATATATTATTTAATTTAAATAAATACTTTATATTTCTAGCTTAACAAAATCAAGGATCACACTCGCCGTACCTGGAAATATTACACAACGAAAACGCGGTACAGTCCCGCCAAATCACAATGGAAATATTTCTCAGGAATAACTCTCAATACCGTATATTTCTCAGGAATAACTACCCAATACAGGTTTTGTCATAGATTAGGGAGAAAGATTACGAGTATATCATTACTCTATGGTATGTTATGCACATGCAATGGTTTTCTTCGTAGGGGTCTTCAGGGATCCCTAGTGCTCGAACTAGGAGTTGTTATGTTTTTGGCAAATTTAAAAGAGGTAAAAATTAAATTGAGATACATGGGTATTGTACAAAATCAACTAAAAATAGATATTTAGAACGCTGGCAACATAGGTACAAATACGCTAAACACTAACAGCCATAAATGAGCAGAGGGGTCCCGAAGACACCACGTGTCCATCGGAGGGTTAATGTACACAAAGCAGGACACTTCGAACCAGTCTGATACTTTTAATACGAGAGAACTGCACACTAGCGAACATAGCGGCGTGATCTGGAAAATCGGCGACAAATTCAAATTTCAATACACACACAACATTCGTATCACTGCGAAACGTAAGTAAACTAAATTGTTTCCAAACTTGTGCTCTTGATAACTTAATGGTTATGACATGGGTCGCTAGTTATGACTAGCGACAAGTATCTCTCGTTATGTCAGAAAATGTTGAAGCTTCATTTAAATATTCCCACAAAATAAAAATATCCGTGTCAAACTGGCAGGGCTCTGAGTTCGTTTAAATTAATCCAAGAATTTAAAAAAAAGTTAAACTCTTTAGGCGGTAGCGTTGACCACAAAAATACGGACGTACGGACAGACGTTTTGCAGTCAACCGATTTTCCGGTAACAAGGAAATACAAAACATGGATTGTGTCAGTAATTTATTTGCACAAACACTTTTTATTTGACCAGTTCAACGAGTTAACAGGTCTTACAGCTACACGAGACAGCCGAGTACGCTCGGAGAGAGAAAGAGAGAGACACGCTACACGAATGCCAAGCTTCAATTGTTTAGTTTTGAAATGTTGTCATTTTGAAAAACACAGTAAGGTCGGCGGAAATGACACTTGCAGCTCGTTTTTTACAGCATTTTGATAAATACGATGAAAAAAGTATGGAGCCGTTTTCACATCATTATTAATTAAAAAATTAAAAATTACCTACGCAAAATTTTGGCAAATACTCGTATTTTAGAAACATTTTACATGACGTTATTTCAAGATATCTTTAAATAACAGATTGCATTAAGGAATAAATGTTCAATATTGTGGTGTAGGAAGACGCCTAAAAACGTGAACTTTTGCAGTTTTCGAAAATGTGACATGTCCTCTCAAAATTATTTAAAACTATTTATCATCGTACGCTCTCATGGCCGGAGTCAATATCAAAGAAAGTTCCCGAGGTGGTAGGCCGTGCTCCAGTTGGCATTGTTGGGCCAAACGTTTCGTCCGCGACTGCGGTGGGCATCCTCAGTGGCGGCAGGGGAGCGCTCGCAATATCCGGGGCAGCGGTCCGTTGGCTGGGTGGACACGTTTGGCCCTTCACGATAGCAGTCTACCTGAGAAAAAAAATCTAGAATTTCCTCTCTATTTTGTTTTCCCTTGTACTTTTGATTTCTTTATACTTATAGAGTTCAAATAATTTTAAAAAAATTGTATTTGTAAATAATTGTCAACAATGCAGGTTTTTACTTCTAACATCATAACTCTACAAAAATCTCTACCATTCTCTTGATATATTTTAATAATAAAAATTGAATATTCTAGCGAATGAATTAAAATGTTTCATAACGAGGTTTTACTGAACTTTTATATACCTAAAATAATATTTCCGTTCTATTAGGAAACCGAAAAATTAAGAAAATATTTAAAAAAATGTACTTTGAGCAGCGGCGATGACTGCAGCAACGTGCTGGAAACTGCCGCCGAATCGAACCCTGGATGTGCCCAACGCTTCTGTGCACGATGGCTACGAAACTGCTCGCGGCTCCTCTGATTTTCATGACAGAGCTCGTTGCGTCCGATGTGGGAAAAAATGGATTCCGAGAAATCTGACAATGAGTAAATCTTCCGAAGTGGCCGCCCAGGCGACGCTATCTATGGGTGAATCTTCGAACTAATAGAAATCATTTAACAATCGATGTCGAAGGACTTTGTACAAATGAATTGAGTCTTTGGTCAACTGGGAAGGTAATCGCGCGGCTTTTGTGGGCGGGAAGTTTGAAATGTATGATCTTTCCTTCTTAAATGCCTTCAAAGAACAGCAAAACTGAGCTGTTCGAAGCGTGGCGCCAAACTTCAATTGATTTGGAAGCCAAGTCAATTGATGTGCCAACAGTAGGCATTGCTCGCAGTCATTCAGTCAGGTCCAATCTCCCAGAAAGTTCCCCTAGCTCTTCATTAGATACTATTTTGTGGGAGGGCAGTGCAGTTGCGAAGGCCGCTTCATGGGGTCGGTTTCCAGGCGAGCGTAGCCAATTGTGCACAAATGTTCTCTTACACGGGATACAGCGTTCCACACGACCCGAAAGATAACTTTTTTTCGACGTATGGAGAGTTCTAAAGCCAGCTTCGTAATAGTTGGTTCTCTGAAAACTGCATGCGGGTTACGTTCTTCCAGAATACGCAGTAGTATTAATAATAATAATAATAATTATAATAATGTTAATTTGTTGATATGAATCAATAATTCAAATTGTATACAAATGAATATATTTTCCTGTTGTCTCCCAAAACATTGGCTCCAAATCGTACTCTTGCTATTTACAGAGCTTAACCGCGCGAAAAGGTCGACGCAACCCCCTGGTGGGGTTCGTACAATTCTTTTCTGTAATCTGAAAGACTGAGAGGTAAAGGAAGTGCAGAACATGCCGTATTTCAAGCGGGAATGAACATTTCCTAAATATACACGAGCAATATAAAGGCTGAATTTGTAATAATTCTGATCATTTTAGTGTAGTATTAGGAAGAGAATAGAGCTTAAAATTGAACTCTGTGGCACACCACACGCAATAGCACTGAATAGAAAAGACGAGTAAATAATGTCCCGTCAATCCAGTATGTTATTTCTACCCTCAGACTGTTAAGTTGCGAACACAACTAATCTAGAGCAATTCCACGAATTCCAATGGAAGGTAATTTTGAAAGTAAAACATTACTATCAGTGACGTCAAATGCTTTTCAGAATCTAAAAATAATCCAGTTGGTGCTTCCGTTTCATACATTATAAAGCGACATCGGAAAGGCGAGTAAATATTGTCCCTTCAGTCCCTTAATAAAACAACATCTCAGGGGCAAATTAAAGTTCGCCAAACTAAAATTGAAGAGCTCAAATGAAATAGATGAAATGTAAAAAAATAATTCATTTCAGAAGGAAAAAAATGTTTATTTTACAATACTGTTTATTTATAATTATTTTACATTTGGGGTATATTTTTGAATAATTTTATCTTGAACAATTTTTATTTAAATAATCATACTTGGGTCAATGAATTGCAGAATTCCCAATAAATTCCCTTTTCGCCTTCGCTAATTGAATTGGGCCAAGGTTAAATTCCACATACTTCACTGAATTTAATTTTCCATTTACCAAACGAATATGGACTTCCCATTCTTTAATGAAACTAAAGATATTTTTTGAAAGTGGTGGCTAATTTTCTCGTGCAACTTTGATGCTTGCATGGCAAGGGACTGTTTTATGATACCTTCACATAGCTTGACAAAGTAGCCACGATGTAAATTCGAAGAAAGTAGTTTGACAACTGGCACCTATAGAATATAATGGGTGTCAACCTTTGACGGAAAAATATTTTTGGAAAACTACATACGACGGCCAGACTAATTTAGGATGAAATTCTTTTAATTTTAAATTACGATTAAATTCTTTTAATTTTTTCAGCTGAGGCATGAGCAATCCCTTCTGAGAAAAAAATTAACAAAGGATTGAGATAAGAAATTTTTATATTGAAACACTTTGCTTTAGAAAATTGAAACTCAAAAGGTTTGACGAGATCAATTGCTTTCTGTGAAATTGGCGATTAAGGTTATTTATTACGCCAACCTAGGCAAACGTTGGACAGACAATATGCCAAATGGCATAACACATGGATTTTGCCAAATCTGTATTTTGAGAAACAAATATTTTATTGACCAAGTTTGGGCCAATGCAAATGTCAGTCAAACATACCCTGATTTTTCCGGCTAGTGTAATTTCTGCTTTTCCGTTTGCCTTCTTTGTGTTGGCAATAACAACACACTTTTGCTTTAACAAACGTTAGAAAACAATAGTCAAACAATGTGCCACATTTTGGCACAATACTTGGATTAATACTGAACTTTATGGACATTCATAAGGTCGTTCCCCGGTGTGGATCCGCATGTGGCGATTCAAAGTACCTCTATCTACAAAACTCTTTTGGCACACGGAGCATTCGTGAGGGCGTTCCCCGCTGTGGACCCGCGTGTGAGTAACCAAGGCGCCTCTCTCCGCAAAGCTCTTTGGGCAGACAGAGCATTCATAAGGGCGTTCACCGCTGTGGATCCGCGCGTGTTTGACTAAGTTCCCTTTCGTCAAAAAGCTCTTTTGACAGACGGAGCATGCGTGAGGGCGTTCACCACTGTGGATCCGCATGTGGGTAACTAAGTGATCTCTCTTCGAGAAGGTCTTTTGGCAGACGGAGCATTCATGGGGGCGCTTGTGGATTCGGATGTGCTTCACCAACTTTGCTCTGACCTTGAACCCTTTGTGACATACGGCACACTCAAAATCACTTTCGGGAAGTTCCTGCACGTTAGTCATTTCATGCCCACTTTGTGTAAAGGTCTTGACACGGACAGAGTTTTTGTTTGATTCCACTGAATTGCCTGTTGAGTCACGTTCTTCCCCTGTTGGCAGAAAACTAGCAATGGAAAAAAGGAGGTTACACTAAAACACTTTTTGTACGTTGTATGTAACCAGGCTTGGTTAAAACATCAATATTTCGAACTACAAGACCCTGTTGCTGTGAGAGGCCTGGAAAAACTGATTTTTTCCATTCTCTGCCACTGTATTTCACGGTAATTACTTAATCTAAAGACCTGTGAAAAAAATAACATTCCAAGTAAGTTTGAAGATTATATTCCCAACAATTGTATTAAACAATTACCACCTAAATTCATCACTAGCCAGCTATATTACTTATCAACTCACTTATACGCTATATTTTGAACATTGCTGTCATGTGTTGGCATGAGGTGGTGAGACTGGGCAGGCAACCTGCTTTACCCCAAACCTATAATAAATGAATGGTTCTTTGTAGGTTTAGTTTTATAAAACTAGTTTTTTTAACCATAATAACGTTTAGTTTTTTCGTGTTAAATAACTTTAGGGCTTGTTTGAGTTTTACCCCTACCTTAGGGTAGGGAGGTACCCGCACATCTGAAGAGTGGCTCTGTAATATCTACTTCTTCAACATAGGAACTGTCGAAAAAGTCAAACCAGTGGTGTTAAAGCAGCACATACTTCCTCGCCGGTACTTTCACGCCAAATCACGCGAAAACAACTCAAATTTTCAAAAAATTGAACTAGATCTTGTTACAAAAAGCATTTTTAAGGAACAGATTTCATTAGGGGAGAATATCTATAATCATAATTGTAATGTATGAAGACTCACAAAAGATTTTGAACTTTTCCAATTTTCGAGAAAGCACGGTTTTCAACACGTGTTTAAAGGCTTAAAAGACGGGGGAACTTTTTACTTTCTCGTATACGTACGTATATACGGAGTAATATACGTATTGTAGAAAAAGTTATGTAATTCTGCCGAAAATAGTTTTCGAGATTTCAACAAATATTCACGTTTTGGGGTCCCCTGATACCGAAAGTTTTTTGTTTGTTTTTGTAACAATAGAGTAAAATACACTTATGAGGTCATAGGTACGATTTTCATAAATAACTCCGATTTTTTACTTCTCTCTTCCTTACAATAATCTCCCTTCCATAAGGAATCAAGGTTTTGCAAAACTGGTTCAGAAGACCCACTTTGATTTGAAGGAAGCAGGAAGATGATATCCCTGGCTACAAATTGATAATTCTGAATGTAATTCTCCCACTTCCCATTTCTGTTGAAGCCAAATCTTTCTTTTGTAATGAGAATTTTTGTCACCATCATCCCACTCACATAGAAAACACAGATTTATATTTGGAGTAGTGATGATACATTCCCAATATAATTACAAATTTAATGAAATTGAATAACTCGAACAGTGTCTGATAGGAATTTTCTAATTCCAGATTTGAATTTGAGAAACCCTTACACACACAGATTGGATTAGAAAAATATTGACCCTTGCAGAACAGTGTTATTAAAGTGAGGCGAGAGAGAGAGGTAAATGAAAATCTCAAAACCCTGTGTAAAAAAAAAGTAGGGTAGAAGGGCTCTGGTTCTTTCTGACATATCTGATACAAACTAGTTGGGAGGACCCTGTGATATTTCTCAATATTTGCATTTTCGTACTAAAGGTACATGTTTTCTAAAACTCACCTGCTGACCATTCAGTTTTCCTATTAAAATGTTTACTCCATGTTGTTAAAGGGTCCTGTGACAGAAGAAGGAACACAATTAGTCACTAATGCATTACGAAAGAATATGCAATTGTAACTTCAATGATGAAATTAATTCTGTTAGTAATATTTATTGGGTCACATATTCAGTTAGGATCAATTTTATACTCTGTAATTGATTCATATTAAATTAATCATGACAATCATATATGAATTAATACACATTAAATCATTTAAATATACGTATAAATCATATACAAGCCAGATTTATTATCTTCTGTCTCCATTATATCTTCTCCACATATTATACTACACTGTGAAAAATATGTTTTGACAATTGATACGATACCTTCAACATAAAACTCTGAAAATGTGCAACTTGTCGATACAGAGTTATAGTATGATATTTCTGTAAAACAAATTTAAGACAGAAGTTAAAAGAGCTGTATATTATTCCATAAAGCAGTCAGCAGGTGCCCATACAATCTGTAACACACACTGCCCTGTTCCATTGTACTCATTAACTCAGAAACTGTGTTTCCTATGCCTCAAATTCCAATTTCCAGGACCCTTAAGTTTGTGAAAAGGTAGAGGAACCTTTCACCTGTTGTGCCATTAAACAGTCCTCGCCAGAGTGCATATTACAGATAAATGTCAGAAGTTGTTTTTTCTAGTTTATGCTCATGCCACCAGAGATACAGTACGTCTTGTCTTAATTTGGAAAGTTTCACTAGTGTCGTGTAGAATAAAGAAACATGCTGGCCACCATCAAAAGGAAGGATTTTGTTCAGAATATTTATGCCATTATTTTAATCCACTGCAGGCATGTGGATCAGTTCATCTGCAACAGCATTTGTTATTTAGTGTCGATCTATCACACCGCAGGGTGGAATAGATGACTTAATTCTGTATTACCCAAAAAGCATTAGTTTTCTTTATGTAATGGCATTATAATTTGTTTAAACTATAATTTAGAGAATTTAATTATTTTAAAGTTAGCCTACAATTATTAAGTTTTTCCAAGGTTAGCATTTTCATTTGCTTTGTTCTATTTAGTCTCTTTTTCAGTTTCTGTGCTGGTGTGCATCATACATTCAAAAATTGAAAGTGTCGTTGCAACATTTCAAACTCACTATGCTTCAGTTAATATGCCTTTGATTTCCGATGTATGTAAATTTCTATTTCTATTTGACCTAGTAATATAGTTTATTATGTATCCAATACTGAATATTATGATCCTATGATGATTGATTGTATGTTTCAAAATGCATTAAACTGTACTCGTACTTTTGAAGAAACAAAAATTGCTCTTACTTCTCGCAATTTACACTCTTTCCCTAGGGTCCCATGAAAAGTGTAAAAGAAGGATTTTACTGTATTAAATTATTATTTTACTTTTATTGAGCTGTTGGGTACAAAGTATAAGATAAAAGGTTGAAATTTTGGGAAACTATAGAGAATTTACAGGGCTACAAATTGTATTTAGTTGTTTTTATTATGAGAACTGTGTCAGAACACAAGTTATTTTTAAAAAACAAAGGAAAAAAGGTGTCTTTTTCTTCTTCCATTTTTCCCTTCTTTTTTGTAGATTGTAAGAGTCAAAATCAGCCATAAATGCCTAAATATATTCTCGAAATATCTTCATTGTCTATAGAAAAATCGCAAAGATAATTAAAGTCAATAGTCATACGCGGTTGGTGTGGTTAAAAAAATTTAAACTTTTATAATGAGAAAAAAAAACACATTTTTTTTATTTGTACGAAGTACTTTAGGTAAAGTGATATAAGTCCTGTGAAAACCTTGTTTTTTTACGCTTCTATTACGATTAAAACAAAAAAAATTATCCCTGGGGACAGATTTGCCTATTTTATTCCACTATCTCCTTTGTCTACTCCATAATCTTACTATATACCATTGTAATGTTCATGTAAATGCACCAATTTTAAAATACAAACCTAGATCCAAACTTTAACACCATTCTTTACTTTTGTCACAATATATAATGTGCACTGACGTAAAATTATGAACATGAGCAAATATGAATACATGTTCATGTAGAGACCTACATGATGAGGTAATAATTACCAGATGGATATTTCAAAAATAAATAGTGGTACTACAAAATGGCACAGACTTTCCCGTATTAGTTTTCAATTTCCTTTGGTCTCGGCTAGCTACTTGGACTTGTCACATACTCTTGCCAGCTGGCATCTATTGCCGCCCAAAGAACATTTCTTTTGGACATTTTAAAATTTTTTTGGGCTTTTTTAATGTAGAGCGAAAGTATTATTTTAAGCCGCGTCAAAAATGACATTTTTTTTTTGAAAACTTTGGAGCCTTTTTTAAGAAAATGGTATTTAATCACAACTGTAAATTCAAAATTTGAACTCATTTTCAAAGAAAAAAGAGTGTTTTCGAAAAACTTCATATGTCATCATTTCAAGCACTTCCAGTCACAATAGTGTTTACCAATCGCTGGAAATGTGTATATTAAAGGTGTGAGATATCTTTCAGTAAAATTACATTTGTGTAATTTTTGCAAAAACAAATTAATACAGCAAAATCAATTCCATGTCAACTTAAACAGTTCAATTAGCACTGTCTATTGGAAAGGTTGAAGAACAAATTTGGAGCCGGTTTGGGGATAATAGCTTTTCTGAAAATGCGGAATTGTGAGCGCATTTTCACGGAAAACGTTGAGTTTTTACAAAAGTTTATCTGACAATATTTCAAGCACATGTACTCATATCATCTAATCAAATCTTGTAATTTGTGTTTTTGTGATTTTTTTAAAATTGCACATATTGCACACAATATTACATGAAAACTACTAACATTTTAAAAAATGGGTAACAAATTTTATTTGAAAGAAAAATCTTTATCTTCACTTTTTCTAGTTGTAGACAGACACACACACACAAATAAAAAAACAACAACATAATTTTGAATTTTTGAAAATTCAGAGTTAACCATGAAAATCAGAACTATGCTGTTTTTGAGAAAGCATTGAAAATGTCTGGGGGGCTTCATGTAAAGTTCCTCCAAATTTTAAAGAATGTTTTTTCAAAATCTAAAAGTTTCAACTCGAGTCAGACGGAGAGAGGTTTCTTCAATTTGGAAAAAAAAACCTATGCATGGTTTAGGCGCTAGTAGTGTTCAGTCACCAGACTGACGTTTTAAAAAATAACCAACACTTTTTTGGTATCAGGTGACCCCAAAATGTGTATTTCTGTTGAAATCTTGAAATCAATTTTCCCGAGCATTACATAACTTTCCCTATATTACATACATTACTCCATATATATGCATGTATACAAGATTGTAAAAATAGCTTCATACACAATCCCAACTTCAGGTCAGCCCCTGAACTGTATGTTCAAGTATTGTAGTCTTGAGCACACTGATGTGTCAATTTAATGATAGATAGATTTCAAGGTTCTACTTGATTCTGACCACTCACGAGTGCATGTTACAAAGTAGAGGAACTCTGAAGATTTAAATCTACAGAACAGTAAAAGAAATTTCAAAAGAGGCAAAGAATTGTAGGGTTTGTAAACATTACTAGAGTGCCACTTGACCCCAGCATGTTCTCTTACACTTCCCCCACCAATTCCCTGCATGTTCTTAGACTGCTTGGCTAGACCCACATATTCCCAGAATGTTGCCCCACGTGTTCCCTGCATATCCATGCAAGCTCCACATTTCCAAACATATTTTCCTGAATATATTACGTATGTATATTTCTCACATGTATTACATTGTTTCCTGGCATGATCCTTCATATGTTCCTCTTTATGCTCCCTCCATTTTCACAGCAAGTTCCCACACATGTTAATCTGGAAATTGTACTGCAAATTCAAAAATGAAAGTGTTTTATTACAAAATACTTTTATAAATGTAGTGGTATCCACAGTGGCTCAACTGGCAGATTAAATAGGAAGTTCTGATTAGCAATAGCACCAAAATATAGAAAAGAAGGGACCCAAAGATTTTTGTATAAAATTCCAATTTCCAAAAAATGAACTTTCTACATCATTGTTATGAAAATAGTTTTACAATAGAACCAAACTTCTAGTGTTTCTGGGAACCCATGCTACATGATGCAGGAAACCCTAAAAATATAATAAAATGTCCAAAAGGTCTCGTGCCCATTGTAACTCATCGTAACTACAGGCAAAAGTAATAAACTAGCTGGACAAATATAAGGAGGGAGATGATGTTGTGATGACATTTTGTTACATAAAATAACTAGTAGGCAGGAGAATTGGAAGGACCGCAGTACATCCTACACTACTGTCAATGATTTTCACATCTATATTCTACAGATTCACTAGTTTACGTAGCTGTCTAACTGAGAATGATGGAAAAATTGTGAAATTTCATGTTTTTCAATTTTCATTGGGTTGGATGCTGTTTTATTCTCCATTAAATGCTTCAAAAGAGTTTCTTGCAACATTTCTTTGTTTTCGAGAAAATATTTTTTTTCGAAGTGGGTGTCAACTGTCAAAACCTTTTGTGAGAAATTCAGATGTATTTGCTCAAATAAGGAATTTTCAGCATGTCAAACGACATAATACATTAACTATTAAAGATAATATTAATAATTATAATAAATTACTTTTACAGCATGTATCCCATGATTTGCTGTAGTGAATGAACTAGCATTGTTCATCTGTCACTAAATGTTTGGGTTTTATAAACTGAAATGTTTCAAATAAATTTGTAAACTATTTTTTTGACAAATAATAAAAACCTGACTCTAGTTTTCACAGTAACTTTACCATTGTAGTTCATTCACTAGAATATTCAATTGTGATTAATTTAAAAAAAGAATTAACAAAATATATCAGTTGTAGAGTTACAATGTTTGAAGTATAAACATGCATCTTTGCCCATTATTTATAAACAAATAGAAAAAGATTTTTCTTTATTTGATCTCTAAAAGCATACACAAATCAAATGCGCAAGTGACACCACAATAGATTCAAAATTCTAGAATTTTTTTCTCAGGTAGTCAGCTACCTTAAGAACTGCTTTCTAGAACACTAAATTAGTTTCCTAATCCCATCTTCCTCTCACATGCCATGATAAAACTGCAGAAAAGCCAAACTTCTATCACAATCACTTTTGAAAAGAGATAGCAATTTAGAGATGAGATTCAGAACATTGTGCATTTTCATTTATGTCATCATGCATTAGCAGACTGTAAAGGATTATAAATATATCCATTTATAACGAGAAGAAAACATGTTTTGAACGCCGAGGTCCCCTTGTGATGTAAAACCCAAATGCATCTGGTACTCACGGCTGATATAGAGATCCTAAAGATGTTTTGCGACTTCTTGGAAACAGTGTGAACGTGTTAAGTATTTGGAATTTTAATGATATCTTTTCTTCAATATTTGTTCATTTAATCTTAGCATATTAAACCATAGACAAATTTCAGAACATTTTATTCAAATGTTACTTTGCTTTGTTCTTTTGAAGACATCAATCACATGTAACTCCACTAATGGGGGTGTTTACTGCAGAACATTTGACCATATGAAAGAATATTATTTTCCACTACTCAAACTCGCAGCTCAAAAGAAAGCTCTGGAACTCTTCCTTCCACCAAAAAATTACTTTGATTTATTTTGTGTAATTAGTTAGCACTTTTGGCAATAGCTACATCAAGTTAAGTGCTTATTAATAACCAATAATACTTACCAAATTTAATAACTGTACAACAAATAAAATTAGAATGTTACTGACATTTGGGGGTTGAAGGGCGCTGCCACATATTGTGCGCTCTGCCACGTATTCTCAACACACACAAGACAAACAGAAGAAAGGAATGTTTAGAAACTCATAACAAGTTTGTTCCTAACATCTGTAGTATTTGTTTGCTTGTAACATTTGTCCCTTAATTTTAGATGGCAACAATATGCAAATGCTGAAGCTTCTGATTCACGTTCCCTAGGTTACACTGCTGGCGTCATCACAAAATGTCAAACACATTCTAATTTTATTCGGACTTTAATTGATATATTTTACCAAGTTGCTGACTTAAAAGTATTAAACATTTCACTATTGGATTTTATTACGTTCAAGGGTCTCTGAATATTTAATCATGCAAGTTCTTGGATTGACTATTCATTTGTCAAGCTTCCCCAGAAAAAAATATTCTAGCTACCACACACTTTCATATATCAAAAAGGCACTTACAAATGTCTCAGAGAGCTACCCCAGGCATAACTTTAAAATAATACAAAATGGGCAGCTGTCATTCTCACCTCGTCCTCCTGTTCAACCAGAAACACTCTGACTGGGAACACAAGTTCCTCCTGGAATGGAACCAAAAATATTTATTTATTCACTATATTGGCTCTTTTTGATACAAATACAAAAGGTTATAAAAATAAGTACAAGGGTGGCATGCATATTTACAATATTATTACATTATAAAAATAAGAATAATAGTAGATGTAATTACATGGATCAGGAGACAATTCATAGAGATTTCTTGAAACACGCTAAGCACTTAGTTATTGCAATACGAAAATAAACATTCTCAAAATCTTAATGAAAATAGTAAAATTGGGATTAAATATATCAATATCCAGATCATTTACATTTTTACAGGTTCTAAAAATCCAATTGTTTGATTTGTAGCTGTGGGAAAAAGTTCCCAGACCAAAAGGCCTGAAATGCCTCGACGACCTTGACAGAATTAGATACGTAAGAAGGGAAAGCAAGCAAAATATCACATACTAAAATATTATCTCCCTTTGATTGGATTAGAAACAGGGTTGCCACTCATTTTCTACAACAAATTTCCCAGAATTTCTCCAGAATATTAAAAAAAAATTTCACTGATAAGATATGCGGATTATTTCACATTATTGAAAGGAAATATTATAACAATTTTGAAACAAATTTGTCTTCTCTCTGCTTCCGCAGCCATAAAATACAAATTAAAAAAACAACAACAACAAAACTCAAATAGAAATTATGCTGTAATATTTTTAGGGAATAATATCTAGTTTTATAAACATCTAAAAATGTTCCAGGTCTTTAAATTATTCTTCCAGAAAATCCCAGATTTTCCCTGAATTTTCCAGTGCAATGAAATTCCCTGATCTTTCCAAGTTTTCCAAAAAAATGGTCACCCTGAGGAAGCAGGAAATTTGACAAACAATACAAATATAAGAAAAATATAATCCTGGCATTAGCAAAATAACAATATGAACATGGAGGAACCAATTTAAAAACTTAATATTATAGGTGTGAAAAATAGTTTTTTGTGGAAATACGTTAAGTGTACAAAACAGTTTGTGTGAAAATATGTTATAAGTGTTAAAACCTAAAGTGTTACAAGCCAAATTGCTTGCTCTACAATGTCACGGAAGTTATGCAATTTCTGACAAAAGAAATTGAATAGGCTATGTAGGAATTCCGTAGAGAACATTTGTTGCATCTTGTAAACATAATTTGTAGCAAATACCCTTAAAAAATCAATGAAGTCAGTGAAAAATGCATTAAAATTATGGAGAATAGCTTAGTCAAAATCCACAAAAAATGCAAAAAATTGACATAAGAATGCATTATTTCCTTTAGTTATAATATAAAATTAATTTCTATACAAAACATCATTGTTATAAAGTGAAAGAAAAATAATATGTCTTCATTAAAATCTGCCTACTACACACATATAATTCATTTTATCTATATTATATGAATATTATTATTTTAACTTATTCCAACCCAACCCAACCACAAACAAATGACAAAAAATTTCAAAGATGATTTGGAAAGAATATTAGCATCACTAGCTCACCTCTTCATTATCATCCTCTTTCACTTCTCTACCCGAGAGGTAGGGCTCATTGTCTTCCTGCAAATGATAACAATACAAGACCTCATAAAGGCTGAAAATGCAAATAATACCAGCAAAGCAAAATATTTACATAAAATTCAGTATTGAGTCAAAAGTCTGGGAAGTCGCATTTAATTGACTAAGTTTTTAAACTTGTCACCAATGTGAAGCAAATGAAAAAAATAAAATAAAATTATCAAGACACCAAATCTGATTATTCAAATAAAAAATGTAATTTTATGTCAGAATATTGTACGCACTTACAATTATCATTAACATCTAATGTATTAAAGTTATAGAAGTTAATTAATACACTACTGTAGGGTTAGTCACTCTAATTGTAAGTTAGTACTTGCTATTGTATCATAATGTGCTAATGTAATGTATTAATGTATTTTTAATGTAATTTTATATAATGTAGTGTAAATGTTATTTCTAATTTTGTAATGAGACTTTGTGTAGTTCAAAATTGTAAATTATTTTAATGTTTATGACAACCACTTGCACCCGTTATTAATCATGTAATTTATCAAGTAGGCTATTTTTATTGTTACTGTAAGTTACGTAATTGAATTTAATTCCTGTTATAACTTAACTTAATTTATTTTTTATATTAATCATTTTATATATTTTATCATAATTTATCAAGATAATGTAAACTTATTAAATTATTACTGTAAATGAACGTTGTTAAATAATGCAACTAACTTATTGTAATTTTAAATAATTACATAAAAGACATTGCTTGATACTTTCTGTAAGTCTATACGCAATAAAATATATTCATTATTATTATTTATCCTCCTCAAACATTAATGTGAGTTATGTAACAAATATTTTGTGTTACATTTAAATTTAGACCAAAAATTCAATTAAAACATTAAGGTTTCACAAAAAATTGCATAAAAATTTTAAATCACCAAAATTACATTCTGCATTATGTCATTAAGGGAAACTTCGAAGAGTACTCATGTGATACAATGCTTAATACACATACTGAAAATAAGAAAATTCCGTTTCTGCATCTTTTTTAATAGAATTTGAATGCAAAGAATGATGTACTTGCTGCTCATCAAGGATAGAATACCAAGCTCCTTCTTTAATTATGTAAAATCATTAATTCTCTAGTGCCTAGAAAAAATCAAATATCTGACACAAACATAGATTGAAATCTAGATTTATAAAGAACTTCCAACAAAATTCAAAACTTGATCCTTTGCATGATCATTAGGTCCTTGCTTAATCTGAAGACAAGAGATACAAAAATATTCAGAGAACTTTCATTACATCAACTAATGCTCACATCATCTTTAACACAATTTAATACACAACCATTAAAATTATCACATTGACATCAAAACTAATTCTCTGCTTATTCTTATAACAATGACCGGAACTTGAGTTTGCTATTATAAAATATTTTACATTATGTTAACTTAAATCAAGTTAATAATATTGAAAATGATGACAATACAACTTTAGATCATGCATTTTTCTGAAACCAACATTGTATGGCAGAAAATATTTCATATCCAAATGTTGCTTGTGATATCCACCATCTAGCTTTAAAAATATTATTTACTACATAATGTCTACTTATTATAATCTCCCAAGAAGCAATGAATGGAATTATTATTTTAGTAAAGTTTATTATTCATTAATAAAAAATGTAGTCTGTATTATCTTAATAAAATCAAATCTTTGTTTAATAATGTATCTAAATTTAATTGGTTATATTGTTTTCAAAACAATATTAGAATCTTTCAGTTCTTTATTTTCATTGGACAATTTCAAATCATCAATAAACAATTAGCCCTCAAAATATTTCAACTTCAAGGCAAGCAAAAAAACTAATCAAATTACTTACGGGAAAAATTATTTATGTAAAAATTCCCTTACAGACAAGGTTACATAATATTTCCTGCCTTGAAAGAAAAAAAACTATAAATCTCTTCATCTATTGTACATAATTAGAAATCATTCTGGAACTATATAAATTTTAAAAGAATAAAAAAGGCAACAATCTTTGTTTCGTTTAGAACAAATAGTTACTAATAATTATATATATAATATAATTATAATCACTAATAATTGTTGAGAAGTCTTAGACTTGTTTACCACATTATTTTGAGTCTGTATGTGCACCTGACTAAGTAGACAACAAAACTGTATATATTTATACGTACTCAAAGGATACATAGGGTCATGCTTCTTGATGTATTTACTGGAATTCAAGAACTTGAAGTATGAAAATTACTTGAATTATGAAAAAATTAAATTCATTGTTCTGATTGAAAATCATGACATGTTGCTAGTAGACTAAGACATATTTTTCATTAATGTTCAATTTTATATTGTTCATATTTCCACAGTACATTCTCTAAGTAAGATTACAAAAAGAGCATTCAAAGGAGCATTTTGTGCAATCTGCAAATGATTCTCTGATGTAATTTTGCCCAGCACACCTTTTCTTCTCAGTTTTCTGAACATAACAATTGCACACATCGTCTCACAGCACTGGTTGGTGTTGGAATGGTGGAATTTTAATGGTAGTTTTTTACTTCAGAAGATATACTTGTGCAATATCTTTTAAAATCTGAGCAATTTTTAATTCTTGTTTCATTAGTTGCATTGTTATCAGGAACATAAACGAACTGTAATAGGGACTGGTACCTTCTTCCTAATATGAATCGTGTTATTTTCAACATTTTTCACAAATCCTGTCCACGCCACCCATAAGTTTATTATACTCAAAAATTATATAAGGACGTGGAATTTGATTTTTTTATTTGCATGCACTGAGTACCTCTTTGCTAATGAAACTGGCTAATTGAAACAGCCTGTAGAGCCTACAGGGCAACAAAATTAACAACGATGCAGTCTAAGTTTTTCTAAGAATTCTAAATTTATGGATCCTGTTTAAATTTCCGAATTCAGTAACTGAATTTTAGTATTGGCATGAAGTTGATGAAGTGATCTATACCACCCTGTCCCTTATCTCCGATATCTTCATCGGTTAAAACTGATAGATCCAAAGGAGAAATGAAAACTCCATCAGCTAATGAAGAACCACTTATTCTTGGAATAAAATGTTCAGAGCCTCTTGAACTGTTACATCTGAACGTAATATTTATGAGAAACCAATGACAATAACCTAGAATGATAGTAAATTACTCAAAATAAATATAGTGCTTTTCCTTCTAAGTTTGACTCTTTCAGAGTCCAGGATGTTTGTTAGCTCACCCTCAAATATTTTATCAATCTAAAGAAAGCACACAATATTCAAAGGATATTTTAAAATAAGGTGTTTATACATGCAAGTTTCTAAACATTTTTCATGTTATTAAATTTCAAATATAATAAAAACAATGCTATAAAATGCATACTCTACATTGATATTCATCATTTCTTAACAAAAATATTGTATGTAATTCATGAAGCAATTCAAACAAATAGTTTATCGTAAACTATTCAAACATAATGGTGTGGCCTTTTAAAAATTAAGGGGTTATCTTATATTTGAGAAAAAACAGTGACTTTTTTGACCCACACTGGAAAATATGGAATTATGTAAATAATTCACGAGTCACAAATTTACCAATGTAGCTATATAGTGCATCATAGAAAATGATTCATTATGAATATTAAAATTAGTTTGTAGAAAGTCTTTAGTCAACGTATTATTTAATAATCATCTATTTGAAAACCATTCATATTTATTATGTTTTTAAACATTAAGTCCATTGCAATTTAATAGAACAAAATAGCTGCATTCGGTTCACCCGTGATGGCTACCACATTTATGACAGTCTAGTCTCAGATACTGTACTTCTCGCTCAATCTTGAGCCACAACTCTTTCTGGGCTCACCTTCCCTAGTTTCTTGGTTAATTTTCAAGTCTACAGAAATGAGTCACTACTCATTTATACAAATTGCATTAGCTCTCATATCCAAGCATAAAAACTCAGAAGGTACAAAAAGAAACATTTCAAACTTGTTCTGGTCAGAAATATAGATTTCAGAGATTAAATAAAAATTACCACAGTTCTCATCAATAAATCGTTCCTCCAAATTACCAATTCTCTTTTTATTGAGGAAATAAAATAAAAAGAGCATTAAAATTAAAAAATCTCACTCAAAAAATACAAAATTTTTAATAAACACATATCTTGTAAATTTTCTAATAAGTCATGCACACAATTCTAAATTCCAAAATTGCTCATCGAATGAAGATTGCTTTTTCTGATCTTAATTGCAAAATAATACTTTTGTCTACCCCTCCCCTGATCTGTAATTACATATCACACTTTGAGCAATCACTGTTGCATAATTAGCCTACATGTATTTTTCTGCAAAAGATATTACCCCTTCACTTTCTTTTACACATTCCCAAATTTTTGAACTGTCATCACAATACTTCACTGATACTCCCCTAAAACTATAACTCACAAATGAATTCAATGTAGACTCTTCAATTTGGTCCATGGGTTCTTCTTTGACCTGTAAACACACAGAAAGTGACTTATGTTAATAAGAAGTATACTCCTCACGTTCTATTTGAATTCCCTCAAAGGTTGCAGGAAGTTCAATAGAATTTTATTAAGTACTTTTAATTGTTTATTTATTAAATTAAAAAATCAAAAGAAGATTCGCCTAGGCACATCAGTTGATGGATAAATCATTTTTCTGATGGTTTAATCAATTTAGATGTGAACCGAGATTTACTTCAACAAAAAAGAGCAATTATATTCACTATACAGGAACGGAAAATTTGGTGCAGAATTTTTATTGAGATCAAAACATATGAAATTTGGAAAAGTACCAATGCGGAATTGGAAGAACTACTTACACTGCTTAAAATAAGGAATTTGTCTAATGGCGAAAAGTCTGCAACGGTTGGGTTAAAAAAAGCGAATGAATGAAGAAAGTAGTTACGAAGATAAATAAAAGGAACCATGGCCGACAGAAGAGGTTTAGGTATTAAAAAAATACTCCTAGAATAGGATGATGAAAACGGAGGAATATTTGAGAAAGCAATACTACGTGAATGAGTGTGCTGATGGAAGTAGTGTAGGTCTGAAATATTAAATTCCTTATATACCGACTGTTATACTTCTGACAGTTATAAGAATATTTTTTTCATCATGAACTCATAGACTCACTTTCTGTCCATTTTTTGACAGGTAACTTTTCAACCCACCACTAGAATTCGAGAACCAAATTTCTTGACTCGAAAACAATGCATTATTCATGAGAAAATATCGTATAGAAAACTATTTTAAAATCACGCACGACATTTGTAAAGTATTAAATAACACAGTAAAGTAGTTTTACTAAGATGTCAGATGCACATGCTTTCACAGCAAACGAAATTCACAGAAAATACTTGCTTCTATTTTAGGTTTATTATCGGCAAAAATTGTATTGGCTTCCATTAATATGATTCGATGTTATCACAGGCAAAATAATATTAGGGCACGGTGACTTGAAGTTCAAATAGTAATCGAACTTGGACTTCACACTCAGAGCAGAAACCAAAACCACGCCAACCATGCGTGCCAACATGCGTGCTGCACAGGTGTTGCATGTGAGCTGGTTGAAGCAAAATAAGCAGTGCTCACAACAGCTGGCAAACTGGGCGGCGTTGGCGGTTCTGCCAACGTCATCGAAATGAAACACGAAGTGCATCGAGGACTCCGACGCGGGAATTTTAAATGTACGTAGGGTCCTTCAGAAATGCTGAAAATTATTTATTTTTGATATTTTATGGCATACGGTATTATAATTTAATTTATAATTTACAAATGCAAATATTATTTTCACAATTATTATAATCTTATTGAAACTTGAAGAATAAAGATACGCTGCTAGTTGCTTGTACAAGAGTACATAATAGCAGCAAGCTATCTCCTGATCGAATCAAAGAGTATATTTCAAATATTCTCAGAATATTCCAAATCACGCCTTCTTGAGCGCTGCACTTAAGTGAGACGATTCTCACAATACAAATAATTTAATATATTAGGTTTGTAAGTCTTACCAAAATCCTCAGCTTTTAATTCATCACAAACTCGTGCATTTCTTATTCAGTTATAACTCAGTATAATTTAACGTCTTCAATTATAACGAGTCCAAATCAATCGCTCATTGGCTGAGCTGAAGCGCCCGCGATTTTCACTTCGCTTTGCTCCCTGCCGCCAACGAAGTTTCTCACTGTGCAGTCACGCTGCGCTGGTGGCGATCGGAAGCATGTCCACCGCTCGCGCATTCTTTTATTTATTTACGTAAAAACAATTAATAACTGAGTGTGACATGCTATGGGGAGAAGTTAATTTTAATAAGAAGAGAAAGTTGATGAAATATGGACTGAACTAAAATTAATTTAAATTCACCATCAAGCATATTATTAATTATTTAAAGCATGCATTAATTATGCAAACATGAATTATACACTTACTTCGGTATTTATTGTATCAATTTCGGTAGATTTTACTTCTAAATTCATCATGTACATTTTTAGAAAGAAAGCACAGATTAAGCTTGATGTTTTATTAAATAGTGAGGGATGCAGTTACATTTATTGTGCAGAAACAAAACAAAGGTCTATCTCAGCATTTGATCATCAGCATATTTATACATTATTAAAAACATACGAATATGTAAATAAAACTTACAAATTATTTACAAACTACTGGTGCTAAAGAATGACACCGTCTTTCCCGTATTAGTTTTCTATTTTCTTTGGTGTAGGCTAGCTACTGGGACTTGCCACATGCTCTTGCCAGTTGTCATCTATCGCCGCCCAAAGTACATTAAAAAATTCTTAATTTTTCGATTTCCTTTTAGTATTGAGAATTTGAATTGAGTTTTGAGAATATTAAAGAGCAATAGACCTAATAGGCAATTTTCTTTGGAAAATGTTGAGATGTTTTTAAGAAAATGGCGATTAAGCGCTACAGTAAATTCGAAATCTTTTTCACAGAAAATTTTTGAATTTTCGAAAAACGTAATTTGAAGTCATTTCAAGTATATTAACTTACAAATGCAGTAGTGCTTATAAATTGCTGTATACGTGAATATTGCCGGCGTTAGAGATCTTTCAAAACAATTACATTGATCTAATTTTAAAAAAGTCCCTTGAAATTATCTCATATTAAATAATGCAATTAGCACTATTCGTTTGAATAGAAAAGTTATAGAAAAAATGAAGGGGTTTTTGAGAAAGTGGCGTTTAGGCGTTCCTAAAAATGCGGATTTTGAGCTAGTCAACACAGAAAACAGTTGAGTGTTTGAGCAACTTTATTTGACATTATTTAAAGCACAAATCTTCATGACATGAATATAATAATGTGAACAAATCGCTGCTGGTGTAAATATTAACGATGTGAGAGACAAGTAAAAAAGTACATTTTTGTAATTAAAAGAAGAAATTAATAGCGCAGTGTGGCGTTTATGTCATCTTATAGAGCCCATTTAGCACAATCTCTACCAAATGTTGAAAAAAAACAACAACACTGGGCGCGAGAAATCTTGTTTTTGGAATTCTTTAAAACTGCAAATATTGCACGCACTATTGCGCGAAAAATACTACAATTTTCAAAAAGCTGTACATGACCTTAATAAAAGAACTAATTATATGCAATATTCATTTCAAGGAAAAATCTCCATCTTCAATTTTATAGTTGTAGGAAGACACCGAAAAAAATCACACTTTGGAAATTTTCGAAAATTCAGAGTTAAACCTGAAAATATATGGACATATGCCACTTTTTTAAATGTATGTTACTCCATCCTTACTAGAAATTTAAAGAAAAAAAGTTTAGTCGTTTCTTACTAATTTTGAATATGCCCCAAGGGATTTATAGTTAGTTGGGTACCTCCAAGTTAAAAAAAATGTTTTTCAAAATCTCAAAGCTTCGACTCGACCCAGATGGTAATGGATTTCCTCAATTTGAAAAAAAATCCTACGTATAGTTTAAGAGGTAGTAGTGTTCACAGACGGCCAGACGGACGGACACACAGACCTTAGGTGAAAACATTGAGAAAGTAATAGAGAATTTTAATAGGTTTTTTGGGCTATGATCACTTAACGACCGTTGCCTTCGTGAATACAGTCATCTATCTCGATTGTTTACTCTGCAGTTTGTCGTGTATAACCTGGACAGAATATTTCGACATTTATGCAAATTTTTTCTGTTGTAATTGACTGATTATATAAAATACTTTAGATGTTATTAATTTCTAATTCTGTTTAATATTCCCTTTTAATTTCAAATTTAATACTACGACGAAAATAATATTTTTAGATAAATTTCTTTTCTTTTAAGAACGAAATTTATTGGATTGTGAAACTCTCTACGAACGTTATGACAAAAAAATGTTGAATACAATACATTTTCACTTGCGGAACATTGAAACATTGCAAAATACTTGTAAACATCTTATTTAGTAAGCTGGGCAGAGACTGATTCAACATTTAATTCTTCACAAGAATGCTTCATATATTTTTAGCTTCAGTATTGCTGCTGACCGTGTGTTCAGCTTTAAATAACGGCCTAGCGCGGACTCCACCCATGGGATGGACTTCGTGGGAGCGTTTTCGGTGCACAGTTGACTGCCAAAGGTTTCCTGATGAGTGTATAAGGTAAGAAACCTCTGCAAATCCAATGTTTTTAGGTTAAAAGATAATTGTGTTTTTTTCGTCTTGTATGTGTTATTTGATGCCTTTTAGAGTAATGTTACATTTTATTTCAACTGTAATTATATCAGTTTGTGTTTATCTTTGGAGGAGTAAGCAGGTGCAGAGCAGGGGACTGTACATTTTGTGGTGGCGGGGGGGGGGGTAGAGGGGGAGGGAAATTCTTGGTTAGAACAAGAAGGTTTGGAGTAGTCGCTCATGCAATGTATAGGATGCTCTTGGCGTAGACGATCTTGTTCTGGATACTACGATAGTCAACGTTCTTTTTCTGCGGCAACACGCATTGTAAGGAACAGATGCCTTGTTTGCTAATGACCAAGTACAGCTTTTCCTCCTTCTTAAATCTTTAGCAGTCTAAAATTTCCGTGATGGCAGGCTCTTAAAAAGATCTCAAATCAGTTACACACCTTTTTTATTGCCAACCTACCAACAGCCGGTCGGATGGCCGAGGTCGCTAAGGCAGGAGTGCATATATATATACACACACATAAGTTTACTCAACGATCAGAAGAATCTTTAACAGAATGTATCTTCTTAAGAAACATCGTAATATATAATATTTTTAAAGTTCTTTTTATTTTATATACATTACATACCCAATATTTACATTACGTATACCATATTTGTTAGTTTGGGTACCCAACGTTCATGTTATAAAATGTGCTGTCAATGTAGAAATAATTAAGCCTAATTTTGAATTGTTTGCAGACTTTCTTGACTTCATGCGAGGATTTCGTCTCTTTCAGTGATCGATTGTTCAGAATAACAGCAGACTTATTGGTATCAGAAGGGTATGCAGAAGCAGGTTATAAGTACGTAATTATTGATGACTGTTGGCTTTCCAAAAAAAGAGACAGCAAAGAACGCCTACAACCAGATCCTGAGCGCTTCCCCCATGGAATGAAGCAATTAGCATACTATGTATGGGTATTTTTAGTTTTCAGTTTCACTGCAGATTGTACAATGATACTTAAGTGCATTGCTATTAATGTTGTGTATTAATTGGATTAATTGATTTCAGCTTGAGAAATATGATTACATTTTAGTGTATTCATTAAATTAAACACCTTTCTTTTAAAGATTCATAGCAAGGGGTTGAAGTTTGGCATCTACGAAAACTGTGGGCGAACAACATGTGAGGGGTATCCCGGAAGTAAGGACCACTTGCAACTTGATGCCCAAACGTTCGCGGATTGGGGCGTGGATTATGTCAAGTTGGATGGCTGCTATGTAGATATTAAACTTTTGGACAGAGGTTAGTAACCTCTTATATTATGACGCTCCTTGATAGAATTTAATTGACTGTCCGAGAGACGCCGCGTCCATGGCGAAGGTGCCGACGTTTCGGTCGCCATTCTGCGACCTTCCTCAGGGCGTAATGCATTACCTTCGCCATGGACGTGGCATCACAAGGACAGCCAAGCAAATACTGACTCCGGCCGCGGAAGCCTACGCTCTCATTGATAGAACATTTTCTGAGATATATCGTTATCCCCTTTCGATATATAAAGGATAAAAGTTGAGAAAATACTATTTTAACATTTTGTTTCCGAACAGTAAATGAGAAAGTTTAACAATGAAGATGAATTGAATATGATAGACATCCACAATTATTATTTTAAACTTGTGTGAAACAGGCTGAAATGGTCACATCGATTAATCGATTGTCTTAATTATCGTGTATTAAATCGTGAATCGATTGAATTAAAAAAAAACAACACTCGTGTAAATCTTCCCTCTCTTAAACAGCAACATGCTCTCACAGTCAATGCACTTGCTCATTTCATGTATTAACCTTGTTAGACGGTCACAACTTTCTAGCGATTTTGTGCTTGATCCGTAACCTTGATTTTGCACTTGATCCCTA